TACACTCCCTTTAACTTCCCCCCCCCAAAAAAAAAGATCAGCGTGCATGCTTGCCTGCTCCCGCACAGCCGCGGGGGCAACGGAATTTATGCCAAGTTGCGGGGAAAGGCACAAGTGATCGTCATTTTTGTTGTTAAATTGAAGGAGATTCTGGACTCACTCCCTCTAGTGCATGCACCCATGTGTGGGCGTATTCACTCACAGTGCCGATTGAATACGAACAACTTTTCTGAGTATAAGCTCGCAACGCATATTATCATGCTTGTCATTCAATTACACGCCATCGGATGGCGGATATGTAATCTTCCAGTAATATTTATGGTTTTTGCTGATAAGAGGGTGGCCCGATGTTTAGGCTGGCCATTTTCAACAGTTTGCTCGTGCGTATGTTCGTTTTTCACGATTAATGCATTTCAACCGCAAGGCATATAAGCCCGCGATAAATACATCATCGTGCTTGCCATTTATTCTACACGTTCGGCTTCCTGGCACAAGCCCCAAGCAGTCTGCTCATTATCGATACGAAGGCAGTCCGATATGCCGGCCGCCCATCTCTGCAGCAATTCTTGCGTAAGCGTTTTAATTTCCACGCCGACTTTATTCTTGGCTGCAGCACCTATCAACATACATTGCCGTGTTGATGGTAAATTGTACTCAATTGGTTCGCTGGTCGTATGCACCAGACATTAATAGGCTGTTCATAATGGATTAGAAGAGTGTCCGGTGTTTTGACGGTCGTATTTCGTGCAGTTCTGCTGTGTGTGCGTTTTTACCTTTTCACTAATTGCAGGTTAATCGTTAGCGGCATAGGCTTACAGAGCACACCATCTTGCTTATAATTAGATTCTGTGGGATCGGCTCGCTGGCCGCATGGACCGCTCGCCAACAGGCTGTTCATTACTTGAACGAAGGTGTCCGTTGTTCCGGCTGTCCCGCAGCTTTACGCCCCGCAGCCCGTGGCGACGCCGCATCGGAGCCTCGGCAACAGTGACGTCGCCGCGGAGTGTGCAGAGCGGGTGGAAACCAGACTTCTGGCACAGCCCATGCACAGTGTTAGAACCTAACCTAGGACCCTGCTGATTTGGACAATGACGCCACATGGACTACATGGGGGCTGGGCAGGACCAAACGGGCCCGGTCTGGTCCTCTCCGGTCTGCCTCTGGTCTCGTCCAGTTTGTTCCTGGCCGTCCCGTTCCCTTTAGTCACGTCCCTTGCCGGCCGATCCTGTCCCATGGCGTCCTGTCCTGTCTGGCTCCGTCGGGCTCCATCCAAGCTCATTCCGTCCCAAGTCTCATCCTGATCCATCCCATCCCTTCAGGTCTCGTCCATTTCCGTCCGGTACCATCCAGTCCTGTAAAGTCCCATCTGGTTCCGTCCGGTCCCGTCTGGCCTCGCCCCGTCCATGTTCTTCCGTGTGGCCCCATTCTGTACTCTGACGTTACATGGTTCCATCCGGCCCAGTCCATTAACGCCTGGTCCCGCCCGCTCCCGTCTGGATTGTACTGTCCCATTCGTTTCTATCTAGTCCCATCCGGCCCCATCCCATCCCGTCCCATCGCATGAGATGGACGGGATGGGATGCCGATCCCGTGCCGCCTCATGGCTTCCGATCATGTCAGTCCCGTCTCGGATGATCACGTTCCATCTGGTGTCGTCCGGTCCCGTCTGGTCCCGCTCCGTGCTGTCTCTGTTGGTCACGTCCCATGGCACCCGATACCATCTGACCCCGTCCACTTAAGTTTGGTCACGTCCGGGGCCGTGCGATACCGTATTGAGGCCATATTACCATTTTTCATATTCCATAGTGCATTGAAGTTGAATTTGAAGCACCGTATTCATAGTGAAGTCGATCATGGTTGGCTGGTCATACAGTGCTTGGTTCATTATCTAATATATCATTAACAGCCCGCATTTTCCTTAATGTTCCACGCCACATTTTCGGGATACAATGAACGTTATTAATGATACATACTAAGGTCCCAAAATACATTTGGCGCTTAACTTTCGGACAGCTGCTTCATCTTTTGGACTACGAGCGTCCGATTTTCGCGCAGCATGTCCAATGCGTTGTATGTTTAGCCCATCATATTTCAAGGCCACAAGATAACGGGCTTGGATTTAGGGCTGCTTTATTATACCCTCAAAATGTTCGCGCCTACCACCCAAACGCACATTAATCTACCGGGCCAAGTTTGACCTTAACGACTGCCTGTGGCTGTTTTCACAGACCTGGTCCTGCAGGTAACCCCCCCCCCCCCACAGAAAATATTCGAGGGGTGACAGATCAGGCAAATGAGGCAGCCGCTCCACATCGAGTCGGTGCATGGTCACGTTCACGTGGTCACCGGAGTGATTATGGAGCCCTCTAATGATTCGTGGGGGCATTGAGGTTCGGTCCTGGTATGTTGGAACCACCGACAGGCACAAGCCTGCACGCGCGTGCCCTGCTTAGATGCTCCGAGAACCAGGGCGTGCGGACATAGTAACCTAGCTGTGGTCACCTGCCGCACCCTTTTTCAAGTGATGGCATGTATTGGTATATAAGTGACTAAATGGTGAATGGTGATTATCGAACTCAGAAGATCGAGAACAGGCGATGCCGTTTTATGACATGTAAGAAACCACATGCCACCCATGGGGTACACTTCACAGAGTGCAGAGTTCGCTGTCAGCCCTTTCAACTCCAAGAAAAAAGCGGGAATGTGTGGCGCAGCGGACTGAAATGTCTGCAAAGAAGTGCTGCGGGTATTTTGATCTTCGCGCTCCTGAGCGAAAACACAGCTGATCAGTGAACCAGAGATCATCAAAGAGTTTGGTTCTGCTTGAGTTTGACAATGAAGCACTGACAAGTCGTCATCATGTCCTAGGGCGTGAGTTAAACGGGATGTTACACATTTAAAGATATTGATCCATCTATCAGTTATGATGAACTGAGCCCACTTTTAACTACCAAGTTATTATTTCTAAACATCCTCCTCCATGCGTCATTGTTTGACTACGTCATGGAAAGTTTGTATGTTATTGAGATGCTGCCAAACTAGTCCGATAAAAGAGACACCCTAGCACTCAAAATCGCCGAGAGCTGGCAGTGGCGGTGTTAGAATGGTCGCTGAGCCAAACATTGTTATGTCCTCGTGTTTCGTTCCTTTTTTGTGACGGTCTTGCATATTTATCCGGGAGTTTGAAAATGTCGACTTTTATTCGCATGCTCGGTTTTAGCGCCATTCTGAAGTTATTTGATAATATATCTTATTTCCGTAATAAATAGCGACCATATCCAACTCCAAAACCCATACTTAGTGGAACACTCCCTTTTAAGCGAATATTCCGCATTTGAAGATATTGAAGCAAGTAACAGATATGATGAAATAAGATCGCTTATAACTATTAGTATACGTTTAAGTGAAAAAACCTACTCTACACCACACAACTTCTCTATGTGGTAAATATGCTTCTCGAGACATCATTGTTTGATGACATCATCGTACCTTGCATAACGTTAATTAAGAGGCGTTATTATGACGTTGTGGATGCCTGGGTCACGTTGAAACAGTCTGCTTATATGCGTGAGCGTACAGTTCACGGTCCTACCCTTCATAGACCTAAGCCCTTTTAGTTTCTGAGCTACACGCCTGCGAAAATATATAGACTTTTTCGGGCAGACCATTTCAAGGTCACCCAGGCATCCATGACGCCATAATGGCGTCATTTGAATCCTGCTATCTCATTGGTCATGTGGTGATCAAAGCCAATCAAAATATAATTGCCGAGTCGCTCACATCTGGCGTTCGTGAGCACGATTGTCATATAATGGCCGTCAAGTGGTTTTTAATCAATGTTGTGCGAGTGCGATGACCAAATCAAGCAATGGCGTATTAAGCAGCCTATTTACTGAACAGAGAAATTGCTGTTTCCAGAGCAGCCCTTTCCCCCTTAAAAGAATACCACTAGTTATAACTGAGGTTGTTTCTCACTATCTGACGCTTGCTCCAACATCTTCAAATGTGGAACATTTTCTTTAAGACGGGCAGCGCTGTGAACTGAACCTAATGATCTTCAAGATGTCTTTTTCACTTCAAAACCCTATACAAGTGTGGAACACTGCCTTTAAGCAATATACCTGCGTAATGTAATTGCGGTTTCCAATCGTTTTCAGAATGGTGGACGGTCCATGCTAGAACGTCTCGAGCTCTTGGTGGCGGCGGCGAAGGGATTCTGGCTGGAGTTGCCTGAGACTGTGGTCTTTCTGAATGATTAGCCTTGCCCGGGGCTGAAGTGCTCAGATTGTGCGCCGTTTTATTGGCTCTGGATCTTTGTATGGAACGAAAAGTGGGTTTTCTGTTGAGGGCATTTCCTTCTTTAAGACTGGAACAGCGCGCAAGATTCAAGCGGGCATTTTGGAAACGTTCGCTTGTTGCATATTTTAACACTATTTTGAACCCCATCTTCATCAAGCCGCAACTCCCGCTGTAACGAGCGTTTCGGAAGGGATCATACTGCAGTGCGTGTCATGCATGCAATTTACATGCATTTGATTAAGTACTGATCTTTAACCTACGTCCGTTATAAAGCCTTTCATTTGGAACAACCCGTGATGCACATGAAGCGACGGTTTACAGAGAAATGGTCATGCACATAAAATCTCTATGAACATTTTCACACGGGAGGCTTACTGTTACGAAGATCTATGCGGACGGAGTTTTTCCTTTACTAAGATCCGTGCGAACAACAATTCGAGTTCGGTACGAAAAGTGCGGTACGCGTATATGTCATGTACAGTTTCGCGTACGAAGTTTTGCATTTGAAGAAATGCTCTGTGAAGTTCGGCCCTGGAACTAAGCTGTCCGATTTCAGTGCATTGCGTGCATAGCGTTTGTGCTCTGCCTCTACACAGGCCAGCTACCCGCCACACTCCCAGCGCCCATGCGCTTCTGCTGGTCGTTACACTGATGTCCGCGCATGCACTCCTATACTCACACTCCATGCTGGCTGTTCTCAGGCGGCGGCCCTGACCGAGGCTGTGTGGCTGATTCCCTCGCCGGCAGAAGAGCCACGTGCCGGTGTCGCTGGCAGCAGACACTTTGGAAAAGGTGGCGCTGCTGGACCGCCATTCCGACCCCACCGAAGAGGCCTGGAGCCGCCTGCTCGGGCCGCTGCTTGTGCCGCGTTACGTCACAACCGCAGCACATGAGGATGTCCGCAAGGTAGGTGGGGCGCCGGCTTCGGTGACTGGGCAACGGTGCTTTTTCGCCCTCAGGCTTTATCCACAAGCTAGTCTGGGGCTTCAGAGCATGATGTTTTTTGGGCGCTTTAAGACAAAGCGAACCGCCAGATGGCACTGTCACCGCTCGCTCTCCAGAACATCACGCAGTGATGCTGCCTCTCCCCAGTGACTGCGAAGTCGGACCGCGATCTCGGACTTAACGAAGGGTCCGATCCTTCTCCCCGCTTCTGATGGAGTCAGATATCGCACGCTGCTGCTCGTTTGGACTGGTGAGAGTCGGCCGTGGATGATGGTGCACATGGGCATATGTCCAAGGGCGTCACAGTGCCTGAGGTGGAGACCTCCGGCGCAAAATTGGTTGTGAAAACCAGCGAGTCGTTTGCACCTCTCTGCCATGGTTGTCAAGTTAGCTAGATGCTAGCTCATTGGGAAATCAAGGTTTGGGCACTATCAGGTGCTGAACTCGTGTCGCTCAAATATGCCCCGTTAAAGGCGTAAAATGCATAAACCACTGGTATCGCATATTTCTAGATGCAAATCGTGTCATTTGGGGTCACAGCCCATGCGGCTATTGGCTGAAACGATCGCACGAGAGCCAGAGGACGTATGGTCGTAAGTCAAACTAATTTTGAACATGGAAAATGATGCATGCCCCCAGTGTTTGGTTCGGACAGCTGATCGGTACGCCGTCGACGTGTTGGCGTGCTGATTTGGACAGTGCACACCGCCGGTATCACATACTGACTCAGCCTCGTCTCCCCAGCACCTTGTGGACGTACTGACTCGGCTGCACTGGACAGTGGACACCGCTGGTGTCACATACTGACCCAGTCCCGTCTCCCCAGCACCTTGGGGACGTACTGACTCGGCTGGGGTGAACAGTGGACGCCGCTGGTGTCACATACTGACCTGGATGCTGGCACCAACTGTAACGTAAGCTGCGTACGAAAGGGCTGCTGCCGGAGGTGCCGAAAATACTTAGGTACATGAAATCCTGGGGCTTCCGTGGGCCACCACAAGTAGCTGGTAGCTGACACGGCTGGTCTGGACAGTGGACACTGCTGGTGTCTGACCCAGTCCCGTCTCCCCAGCGCCTTGTGGACGTACTGACTCAGCTGGTCTGGGCAGTGGACACTGTTGGTGTCTGACCCAGTCCCGTTTCCTCAGCACCTTGTGGACGTACTGACTCGGCTGGTCTGGACAGCGGACACTGTTGGTGTCTGACCCAGTCCCGTTTCCTCAGCACCTTGTGGACGTACTGACTCGGCTGGTCTGGACAGTGGACACTGCTGATGTCTGACCCAGTCCTGTCTCCCCAGCACCTTGTGGACGTACTGACTCGGCTGGGCTGGACGGTGGACGGTGACCGAACGTTCAAGATGCAGACGCCGCTGGGGGAGATGCCGTTCACCAACGTGGTGGCCACCCACGATCCGGCCGCGCCGCGCCGTCTGGTGCTGGCCTGCCACTACGACTCCATCTACGGACGGGACGCGTTTGTCGGTGAGTGCCGGACGTTGCCTGACGCTGGAGGGATGTTTGCCACCGTTGTCAGCCGTGGAGTTGCCCGAATGAATGCTGACTGATCTCTGGGTGGGCGCTGTGTCCGCTTCAGCCGCCACCGACTCGGCCGTGCCGTGCGCCATGATGCTGTACCTGGCTCACCTGATGACCAGTCGCTACCTGGACCCGATCAAGGTTAGAGGCCAAACTCAGCACCAATGCTGGATGGGAGCTGCCCCCCATCAAGAGGGGGGGGGGGGCGGCCCTGGCACTCACCCCTTGGCACGTGGTCCTCATTAGGCGACCGCCCCAGCACACACGCTATGATGCGCGGATTCTTCCAAGACCATCGGTTGCTCTCATCACCACCCCCTAATGGTGCGTGGACGTATCAAAGTCGGGTGTCTGCGCCACCCACGGGTGCGTCACGGTGGCAGTCCGCACCTAGTCTGTGGAAGAGAGGCTGCGCAGGCGTTACTCTTCGGATGCCCGTGTATCGCACCGGCTGACTGATGGACAGAGGCGTCCTTCTCTGCATGGCTCTGTTTTGTTAGAAGTGACATTGCAACATTGCTTGAGTCGCGACGCCCCCGCCTCGGAGTGGAGAGCTCCACAGGCTGGCAGTGCCGCCGAGCGTCTGACGCTCTGGCTGCACGGCCAGGGCCGGTCGGACACGACCCTGCAGCTGATGTTCCTGGACGGAGAGGAGGCGATCGTCGAGTGGACTGACGACGACTCGATCTACGGCGCCCGGCACCTGGCCGGCGAGCTGCAGCAGACCGCCTGCCAGGCCACCACAGCCTGCTCCAACACTAGCCTCACCGAACTGGATCGCATCGTGAGTGGGCGGGGTGGCTGCGTGCCGAGCATGTGATCGGCAGCGATCTGGTCTGCCGGCTTATTGTATATAAGGATCGTTCATTTAGGGTGTACTCATCAGCTTATACACTGGTCTAGATCACTACATAGGATAAAATGTGTTTGCCATCTTTAAGGTGATTGGGCCTATCGGAAACGTCTCTATGTGTAGAAAGTTTCAGCACATTCAGCTGACATGTGGGGCAAATGTGCCTTTATGTTTTTCTCTATTTTGCAATAATTTTGCAACGTGGGGCACGGGTGCGGGTGTTATGAGAAGCGCGCACTGCGATGTGCTGCTTCCATTATGGCAGCTGTACAAACGTTAACGTTACAGTCGAAAACAGGGCAGAAGGGGCAATATACCAGGTCTCGTGAAGCTGGTAGTTTCGGAAACTGCCCCGTGTAGTGCTAATTTTCAGCGCGCTGTAGAACAAATACGATTTTTTGTAGGTCAGTTCTCATGCTCACTCGGTCAGGGCACAAACCGCATGACCAATCAGTTGGTTGCGTAGGATGAAAACTGATTGGCTGAACGATTCGTTGCGTGGCCTGTTTTTCAAACGAAAGCGCTGCCCTTGGTAAGCGTTCTCTGGAGTATGCCGCCGTGTGCCGGCCAGGACCTGTTCGTACTGCTGGACTTGCTGGGCGCCAAGGAGCCGGCAATCGCCAACTACCTCTCCAACACCAACGCAGAGTTCCGCCATCTGGTGTCGGTGGAGCGTAAGCTGCGTAAGAAAGGGCTGCTGCCGGAGGTGCCGAAAATATTTAGGTACATGAAATCCTGGGGCTTCCGTGGGCCACCACAAGTAGCTGATGACCATCTGCCGTTTTTACATAAAGGTGAGGAACAAAGGAACTTGTGTATGTAGTGTGCTTCACCATGACGTATTCACCTTCGTCCAGATCTCCATAGATCGTGTGCTATTCTAAAAGCGATCGTTGCCCATTCGTGGACGCCAAGTCACGCCGGTTTGCATCCGCTCAACGTCATGTCACGATGCAATGTGAGAACCAGCTTTCTGTCACAATCGCTGCTTGTTGCAGCGCCGTAAGCTAAATAGCTGCCAATCTACTGATCTAGTATGTTGTTTTACGTAACACTTGACCGATATCATTAGCTGAGCATATCTTAGGCCTCTATTGGATATGATACTGAAGGACGATTTAATACTTTTGTTATATGCCCAGACACAACAGGTAGAGGCGCGGTGCTTTTGTTATATGCCCGGACACAGCAGGTAGAGGCGCGGTGCTTGTGTTATATGCCCGGACACAGCAGGTAGAGGCGCGGTGCTTTTGTTATATGCCCGGACACAGCAGGTAGAGGCGCGGTGCTTTTGTTATATGTCCGGACACAGCAGGTAGAGGCGCGGCGCTTTTGTTATATGCCCGGACACAGCAGGTAGAGGCGCGGTGCTTTTGTTATATGCCCGGACACAGCAGGTAGAGGCGCGGTGCTCTCCGTCTGCAGCCTGCGCCATTGACTGTCTATCTACACCTCATTGGCCAGTTGCACTAGTTGTGAGGTCCGCAGCCAGGCTTTCGAAGCTCCACGGATGATGCGTCATCCTCTGAGTGAGAAGCCGGTGGTGCGCGCCTGACGGCGGCCGCTGGCGCGCTGCAGGTGTGAGGGTGCTGCATCTGATCCCGGTGCCGTTCCCGGCCGTGTGGCACCGGGACGATGACGACGCGTCGGTGGTGCACGCGCCGACGGTTACGGCGCTCGGTCGCGTCCTGCGCACGTTCGTCGCCGAGTGGCTCGGCCTGGCCGCGTTCAAGACGGTATGTGAACCCTCTCCGGACGGGGCGCACCGTGCGCATCCAGGCGTATGATGCATGGCTGTTTGTGCGTTGCCTGCCGGGTACCGGAAGCCAAGATTCGCTCGCCGCCGGTGGAATGTGTCGTGACTGAAACGTCTCCTGTTGTCGGCTCGGAAAAGACAGCCATCTGGTGTCATGCTGTGGGATGTGCCGGATTGTTTGCCCCCCCCCCCCCCCACGTCGGTGACCGATCTGGTTGCGGACATGTTTGCACTCTGCTTTGAAGCCTGCCAGGGTCCCGTTCACCATTTCCTTTGCGCCAGTCGGTTTATCATAGGTGAGACGGTCCAGACGTACGCTCTGTCCGTAGTCTGTTTGACTAGTGTTAACGTCACCGGTTAACCTGTGTGTCCTTTATATACCCGTGACAACAAGCACAATGGTCTTCCAGGGACCCTTGAGCAGCGAAATGAAGCACGAAGAGCTGTGATGGGATCTTTGGAGTCGTGCCAGCCAGTTAGTGTCCGGTCACAAGATGGCAGCTGGCCTGTAGCCAGGCGACGAGTGAACAAACTCACAGCGGCCAGGCGGCGTTATGGCTGCTTCGCCACGTCCTCGGTTTGAGTTGCGCTGGTGCTGCTGTTCTCTGCGGTGTGAGGAAGTGTTGGCTGTGTGACCGCGCTGGTGCCTTGCTTGTGCGGTTCGCTGTTGTAATGGGAAACCGTACAAACATGTCATTGTGGTTTGGTGAGTGGAAATCCATGGGAATGCAGCTGACTGCCCATTTTTGCAATATCGGTAGTCGGTGTTGTTTTTGCAGGGTTTTACTGTTTTGTGCATTTAAATGTTTACGGAGTTTCCAGGAAAACGCTCCACGTGGTTGGGAATTGTAAATTTGAGCTGTTGTCACGATTTGAAATATATTCAATCAATTTCCAGTTGTTTATTTGACGAAAGGCCAACAGCGATCGGAGTGAACCTATTCAAGTGCTGGCCTGAGATCTGAGAAAATCGCGCTGGACGTGACTATGGCATTACCGGGTATTCCAGGCCGATGCTACCCGAGGCATATGCGCGGATTGCTCCCAGAAGCTCCCAGAAGACTGCTCCGAAGCGTCGGCACGAGTGTGCGCCTGACGCGGCGGATTCCCAGCAGTGACGACACAGGGTTTTGAACCACCGTATTGGTTCAACCACCAGCTGAACCACAAGTAACAGCACTGTTTAGCGTGCGTGTTTCACGCATGCTCAAGGCGGACGCTTGAGCCCTTTGCGTTGCTGTCTCCTGGCTTGCGGGCACAGTAGCCTCCCGCCATCGGATCTCATGTGTAACACCGAACATCAGATAAACGCCACGCGCGCATCAGCCCACCGTCTCTGAATCAGATCAGCTGGGGGCCAAGCAAGCGCCAACGATGGTTGACAAGATCTCTGCTGATGGACCGTCAATAGATTGCGTCGCGCGTTTTTAACCGTTTTTCGACTCCCTCCCACCCCGGTCATGCACTGGTTATGACGCAACCTTCCCCACCCCTTGTCACGCTGCGACTACGCTCGGGCAGAACCCCTCCGTGCTCATGTAAGTTACAGACGGCCCTGACTTCCAGACCGACCCAGAATTGAAAGCTGGTGTATCGTCCAGATGGTGTTTATTCTCCAAGTCTGGCACCGACTGCAGCGCGGGGAGGAGGTGCGCCCGCGCGCTTTGTACGTACCCGAGATGGTACCAACTGATATACTCTGGGGCAGTATTACACTTGAAGTACGTCACAACGTAAACGTTCGCTTTGTGGTTAACACCTCTGCCTGGCAATGTGAAGTCATTTAAAGTGATATTGAATGCGACATTATACGGAAAAGGTGAAGTAAAACTTGTTTAACTTTCTAAAACTTTTGTCACTCACTTTTGTCACACTTTTAAAACCCTGTACCGGACGGGAGGGCTTTCATCGCATTTTAGCCAAGGTCCCGTTAAACCGAACTTGTCCCTGCCTCTGAAATATCTGAGCCAATTACTGGACCCTCTGCGCCGGTAAAGAATATGTTGCACCAATTAGGGTTCCGGGGTCGGCCTGGGGCCACCCGCCCGGTTCAGAGGTTAAGCAGAGACCCGGGACCGATGATGATATGTGCAAGAGTGCCTCCGGGACCAACGTGGTCGATCCGGAGGCACGCTTAAGTACCTTCGGATCGACCACAGGACCCATCCCCATATCGCCAGAACGGCAGCCGATGGTAGGCTGCCATTATGGCCAGGACGGAATGTCCCATCAGGCCCCCCGCTCGCAGCAATGTGCCCTCTCGTGTTCTACCCACGGGCTTCTCCGGAAAAGGTTAGGAGCCTCATGAGTGTTTGTCAGAGTGGATCAAAATGAGATAAAAAATGCAAAAACCAACACTTGTTCACCTGATAACGTTCATTTTTTGGCAGGATCGACAAGTGCAACAAATTGCCTTGGCTGTCGTGAGGCTGTGTGCTCGCAGTCTTACGAGTCGGGACAGCCATGGCCGGGGTTGCCGTTTCCTCAAAACCGAACGGCGTCGGCCGCTGCAGGTGACACCGAGCCGCGGGCGCCGGGCGAGTGAAAGCGACTGTCGTGCAGTAATGCTACGGATAGTCTTTCAAATTAGCCTGCACCGCTCAAAGATTACAGTGGGGCGAAGATTTTATCTGAATAATGTTGGGGCCGTCCCCAGAACAGGACAGGTACAGCAACACGGAAAGTAAAGATCTTCCTGTTACCCCTCCACTTGCACCACTACAGTCCAGCAACAGTTCCTGGTGCGGTAAATACTAGCCCGATCCCATTGTCAGTCTAGAGATTGAGCAGGTGAAATGTATGCCCGTGATGCATTTTAGACACGTGCATGAATGTTTTAAGCTTTCAGATTCGCTTCTTTCAGACGCCATTATTTTCGCCCGCCCGTAAACCGCTACGTAATGTTGACCGCGGGGCTGGCGTCGCTTGGTTTATAGAGACTAACGTTGGACGTTGGGGTTTGTTTCCAAGGCTTGCGAACATGCATACTTAAACTATGTCACGCTGCTTTTTGCTAATTGAATCTGACTGAAGGTTTGATATTCCTAGACTGACATGGGCTGGCCATGTGAATACAAATCTTCGAGCATATTTAGATCTATCATCACGTTCACGTTATCGTATAAGTGCCCCTGTAAACTCAATAGACATCCTGAAGAGCCTGTGAGTGCTATTTGAACAGAAAAAGCCAACTGCACCATTGTAAAATGAAGAGCGCTGACTGTTTTCTCCGGTAGCTTCTGGCTTTTGTTTCGATAAAGGAGCTAAAAATATAGATAAAGCGAAGACCGTCGTACCCTCGAAATGAAGTCGACCATATCTGGTGACCTTTTTCGGGGAGGGGGGCCTTTTATCATCAGGGGCTCTTTGTCAACCCTGTGTCCCTCACCCTTTGCCAAGACTGGCCGCGCCCCTAGATGCTACGTTCATAGTTGACAGATACGTCGTCGGGATTTAAGACCGCATTAAAACTTAATCTGACCCCGAGAAAAGCTCAACTGATATAACTTGGTCGGTGTTGGTCAAGTTGGAGACCATCGACCGATTTGAACAGCATAAACACTTAAGATTTTAGGCATTTTGTTAGTGCAACAGAATCACGCGACCAGGAAGTATGCGTAGCGACACATATATATGGCAGTATTGCTGCGTGATCAAGCAGCCCTCGAAAGCTTGCTAAAGACATACTACGTCACAGTATTAAAGACGGCGGCCCAAATGCCTCTGACGTGGATAAGATTTACATGAGTTCACGATCAGCTTGGATAAGATGAACGTGCTGCTGCTTGTGTAATTGTCCTGGCGTCAGTCATTATAAGCAAGAGTAGGTGAACTGAAGAAGTACATGTGGTTAGAATTGATGACGGTGAATTTGTGTCAATACAATGAACGTACTATGTTTCCACAAAATTGTTAAGATTTTGCAATGAAGTTTTGGTTGGTTTTGAGCACTCCGGCAGGAAATTGTTTTTTTGCATGTACTTGTGTTGATATTCGATAGCTAAGTCACTTGCATCCCACAAAGAATACAATTATTTTATTGTCTTATTGTCCAGCAACCATTGTTCATGAATCCGTTTTGCTGGGCGGGAATGCTGTTGTTTTGCGACATTGTGGAACAGGCCAGCATTTACTCTAAGCCCAGTATATGGCACGAGGCTATAGATATTTTGTATTCAGTTCTTGCCATTAGTTCACCCAATTCTAGGAAAATGCCAAGACCGGCAATCACCGTGTGGATCAGCAGGGGGCGTTAGATGTTGGCTGCACCATTATTGTTTACATCGGTGTTGTTTGGAGAAAGGCGGGCTTTTGCGATCGCTCAATTCAAGCATAGTTCATTGTGGATCATTGTGGATGTTCATTAAGGCATTTAAGCTCGGCAAGTACTGCACGCTTATGAACAAAGACACTGCCAGGATATGGAGGTTTGTGTTGTCGTGTTTGCTCCGACGTGCCAACGGATGTTCTTCAAAACAAACAGGTTTTGTGGGAAGAGATCTGGTATCATACCTGCTGAGATAAACACGGTTTTTATTATAGTCAGTCAAGCGCAACTGTATCAAAACATACATCTTTTAAAGCTTGTTTTTAAATATTCACGATAATTATCTAGCCGAATTTTTTAAAAACCGTGTTGTCAAAAAATAAGCGCTGAAAACTTCCCCAAAAGTTTTGCATCATGATCTTTTATGAAAAAGTTAGCATCAAAAACGTAATCTTAGCGGTATGAAAACAACTGTTGCATTGCAACCCCGAAACAACAATCATGTAAGGAGACAAAAGAGGCCCAATAAATGTAACAAAGCGGACAGCCCCTACTTAAGTTAGCATGATTTTACCTACGTCCTGAGCAACCAAATGCCTGTAGGGAACACGACCTATTGTGTTGGAACGCACCTATGGCTAACCTCATAATGAAGCGATTGATAAATCGAAGCCCACATTTCAATTGCATTGCATTCTTCTCTCCACTTGGTCTGCACCTTTTGGGATGCGTCGTTTTACTTGCATTTAATAGCACTATTAAATGCGAGTAAAACGATACATTCCAACGGCGGAGACCGAGTGGAGGGAAAAAGGTAGTGCAGCTTTAAAACGGGATTCCATTTATCAGCATCTTTGAAAATGTAGGTTCACAAGGCTGCAGTTTTTTTTCTTTTTTCTTCATAAATTTGATTCGAACCCTTTGAATGGATGGATTTCTGGGGTCAGCGCTCACGTAAGCAGTGCTTGTTGTGTGAACCCTGACCCCCACCATCCGATCGCGCAAATCCAGGCAACGGCAGAATTTAGTGGCGAAAGCTTAACGTGCCGCAATGCTCGGCACGATCCATCCTGCCCTCTGACGTCAACTGACGCTTAGCGCGACCGCTGCCACCGGCCGCAGGCCATACCTGCCAAGGGCAAATAACGAGTGCTCTAAAGCGGCTCGAACCCATCCTGCCGTGGGTGGATGGATCGGTATGCAGGCGCTCTGACAAACTGAGCCACCGGGACGGACAATGGCTCCATGATAGGACTATCCATACGTGTATTCCAACACAAAAGTTGTTGTTCACTAGAGATATAGTCGACAGCGCGCTGTGCCTCAAGAATAATGTTGGAAATGAGCTGAAACACTTTTCAAAAGTGCACGAGCGTCATGGGTGATATGACACCCATGCATGATAAGACGAACGATATCTTTGAAATGCCGGATAACTTCAACTCACCTCAAAGATTTCTACCCCAATATGGCAAGACTCTACACGTCTTGTTGAATTAACAATATGATAAATAAGGCGATAATAGGCGCAACAACCTCTCCATAGCTCACGAATGTAATGTATGCGACTATCAAGAGCGAAACCATCGGCGTCCAGGGCTTATAACTTTGTGACGAAATTGATATATATATACATATATATATATATATATATATATATATATATATATATATATATATATATATACGTATATATACATATTTAAGTGCCAATTTACATAATTTTGTAACTTGTTAGCTTATAACGTTGTAATTTGACAGATGAGGTCTGTGCATACAGCTGTAGCGCATATTCCGGACTACAGCGGTATATGTAGGTACAAAGCACACTGAGCATATTTCACTGGTGCCGTCTACTTGAGAGGCGTCAGCAAGCAGGTTGAGTACACTGCATAACTGATCGTAAATTGTTGCATTGTGCTTTCGAATAATCTAACCACCACTGAAAACAGTATGTGTTTGAGCAAAAGGCATCAATGAATAAATATTCGCTCCAATGTTTACCTCTTCCCTTCTACCTGAACCAATCTTTTTTCATTTATCAGCAATTCCAACGTTTATTAGAATCGGCGATATCCTAGGCGCTCTATTAATATGCTTGCCTTATCCCCACCGGCTCCCCGACTCCACATATCATGGCAAGGTTCATAGCTTCAGGAATGAGAGCACATCTTCATGGAGGATATTATCAGATTACGAGGTGCAAGAGCGGATTTGTTGTCAGGGGAATGCTTTCATGGAATGCTCTCATCCCAAATATACGTGGAGAGGCTTCATGTGTATTTGCATTGAGATGTTGCATTAGACTAAAACGGGCAATTAAAGCATGTTCCTTCGTGTGACTTGAATTTTTCATGAGCCGCCGACTTCTGAAGCAGTCAAATCCACCGCCCCACGTACCGTAGATTCCCAAGCTTAATCCTTCAGGCACAGTGCGGAAGCAAATCCGCGGAATGATCCAAATCAAACAGTTATAGAACGTGGGGCGCGTCGCCTGCGAGCCGTCACATCACGGATTCACGCGAATTGGGCGAGCTCGCGGAACCGCTACAGCCCGCTGACGCAACTGAGCCGCTTAGTAAGCAGTTCCAGCGAGACACCGGTCGATGCGTGCCTGGGCATTGTGGGCTCGTGGCTGCGGGGGTGGGACTATGACGCGGCCGCGCCGCGGTCGTTCCGGGCAGCCGGGGTGGCGCCGCTCCGCCGTATTTACCGGGCCGTGTCGGCACACCTGGCGCCGGCCGGCGAGCCCGGGCCGGCCCAATTGTCGGAACGGGCGGCCGCCACCTGGAAGTATTGATCAGCGCCACATACCAGGGTCTGGCTGTCGGCCGCCGGCAGACGGCACTGACGCTGCCGGACGCCTGTCAACGGCGCACGGTCGCCCCGCGCTCCGGCTAGCGGCTCCACTCCGGCGGCACCCCGGCAGACTCCGGCGGCACTCCGGCAGACTCCGGCGGCACTCCGGCAGACTCCTGCGGCACTCCGGCTGACTCCGGCGGCACTCCGGCTGACTCCGGCGGCACTCCGGCTGACTCCGGCGGCACTCCAGCTGACTCTGGAGGCGCTCCCGTGACACCCAAACAGCACTCCGGCGAGCCCCAGGCGACATTTGGACGGCGCTGTGCCGACAATCCGGTGGTGCTCAAACGACACTCTGGAGGAGCTTTGGCGACACGCGGTTCAGCCAGGAAGGCGCTAGAAGGCCGACGATCCTCAGACAGGCTCTGGAGGCCGACGAACAGAGCAGGCCGCGGAGTGCGCCAGCGGAGGGGACCCCAGGGCGTCACGTCCTCGGCGCGCGCCGACTCGGGGATCGGGCGGTCTGTGGCAGCTGTGACCTGCAGCAGCAGTGACCCTAAGTGGCCTAGAGCGCCAGTGGCGAACGACCTGAACGTGGTGGTGGTGATCTGCCGTGACTGGAAGTGGCCGAACGCAACAGGCCGGACGTCGGACATGGGCTGCGGCGGCTCCAAGTCGGTGGCGGCCGTCCAACCTCTAGACGACGAGGCTGAGAATGTCTCCAAGGTTGAAGTGCTCAAAGGTGAGCACATGCCAGTGCTTGATGCTGAGCCAGGCATCGTTGACTCGTGTACATGCCTCATGTGCAGGTCTTCTGTCGCTGACAGACCGATGCAGTCAGCATCTTGCCTCCGAAGAAGACAGCAACGAAATTTTGTGATCGTGAGGGTGCTGCCAGCTGGACCAGCGATGCATTTCATAAATTATCTTACAGCGATGGTGGTAGAGCTGCTTTCCCTTCGCGTAGATCGCATCCAGTAATGCTGTGTCGACACAGTAAGTGTCCGGTCAGTGGTAGTGGTAGCAGTGGTAACATAGTCGCAACAGGTTGAGCTTTTGTTATTGTGCTGACAACCCCAGCATCTGGAAAGTGGTGTTACTGGACTGTGAAATCATGTAAAACAGTCACTGCAAGCTTCTACTGGCGGGCAGAATCGGTGGTGTACACGCTTAGATGCCCTGGACGCGTTTCGTTGCCTTTACTAATTGCCCCACTCCTACCCCAGAAAACGGCGTCAGCGATGGTCTGGACAGAATACAGAGCGTACCGAACAACCATATACCGAACGGAAGCCCGGCGGACCAGCCAGACCAGACCAGCACGCAGCTAAACCCTGCCAGCCCGCCGCAGCTGCTGCCCGTCAAGCAAGGTGAGCGAATCAACGGCTGGTGCGCGACGAAAACTCCGGTACAGGTCAGGGCAGGACAGCAGGAGCCGGGACTAAGGCACGTAAGAAGCCACCTATGGAAAGTCATAACGGGTACACAAAAGCCTCGTGCATCATCCAGCTATTGGCTCCTCGAGGCAGGGTGTTTACCTGCGGGGAGAGAGGCGTAAGCAGCGCCAGTCATATTCATCGGAATGTTTTGACCACTAAACCTTGACTTTATCACCAGGGACGACCGTGGGGACCACCATGTCATCGGCTTAACCTCAAAGTCGTAGCTTTCTGGTGACCTTCGTGCTACGGACTGTAGTGCACCAGCTGGACTTTGTTTGTGATGGCGCTCTTCTGTGATGACAGGTCTTCTGTGACGAATTGGAACGCCGCCAGGATTTATGACAGGTCTTCTGTGACAAATTGGAACGCCGCCAGGATTTATGACAGGTCTTCTGTGACGAATTGGAACGCCGCCAGGATTTATGACAGGTCTTCTGTGACGAATTGAAACGCCGCCAGGATTTATGACAGGTCTTCTGTGACGAATTGGAACGCCGCCAGGATTTATGACAGGTCTTCTGTGACGAATTGGAACGCCGCCAGGATTTATGACAGGTCTTCTGTGACGAATTGGAACGCCGCCAGGATTTGGCGTCAGGAAGAGCTAGTCAACACCCAAGGGAGCAAGCACTGTTGTGGAAGGGCGACTAGCAAACCATGAGTGTTACAGGGCAAACAATTCAAACAGGAGAATCATTGTTGGTGCTATAGGCGCTATTCATGTAGAGGACTTCACGGATCGGGGAAAATGGCACCAGTAGTGTAGTGGCTAAGCTGTGTGTATGGGGGAGTTCACGGATCAGAGAAAATGGTACCAGTAGTGCAGTGGTTGAGCTGTATATCTGGGAGGACCTCACATATCGGGCAAAATGGTACCAATAGTACAGTGGTTAGGCTGTGTGTCTGGGAGGACTTCAGAGATTGGGTAAAATGGTACCAGTGGTGTAGTGGTCAAGCTGTATGCATGGGAGGAGTTCACAGGTCTGAGAAAATGGCACCAATTGTGCAGTGATTAAGCTATGCGTCTGGGAGGGCTTCACAGATCGGGCAAAATGGTACCACTAGTGCAGTAGTTAAACTGTGTGACTGGGAGGACTTCACAGATCGGGTAAAAGGGTATCGGTAGTGCAGTGGTTAAGCTGTATGTCTGGTAGGACTTCACAGATCGGGTAAAAGGAAACCAATAGTGCAGCGGTTAAGCTGTGTGTCTGGGAACTTTCGGACTATGGGGTTGATTCCATGCGGTGCCTGTCAGGGTGAGAGGAAGACACTGCCATTTAGCCTAAACAGCTGAGTGCATTTTAAAGCCTCAATGTCACAACGTCAGTTTGGCTAAGACTATGTTACACACATGTAATGGATAACGGGCTGGGTTGATTGCAAATCTTCGGAAAATTACTGGTATGGGCACAGGTGGGTGGGTGCGACGTTTACGAGGTTTTAGGAATGTGTCAAAAACATGCATTGCTATCGGCTGTGCTTTTTAGTCATAAGTAGCTCCAATTACACTGTTTTGGGGGGTTGTCAACGCAAAAAATGAAGTTTGTGCGCAAAGTTGCATGATGATGTATCGCAACTTTGAACTTACGCGCTCCAAAAAAGCAAACAAATTGGTCATGGTGTAATGCGCAGCGGATGGGTATGATCAGCATGGAACTTTAAGCAATCTACGCGCCATAACTGATATCCTATCCTTTCCAGGACATGGTGACCTTGAGTCAGGCCAAACGTCACCAAAAACGTCCAAAATACCAACATTGGTTGCAGACAACCCAACGCTCCGAGCCTATGACACGGATCAGCATTAAAAGTTTACCAATCGATATGCCATAGTCGATACCCTATTCTTGCTATAACATGAGACCTTGAGTCACGACAAACTTCGGCAAAAACGCCGAAAACCACCAAAATTGGTTTCAAATAACCCCATGCTCCGAGCCTATGACCTCGATCGACACCAAACTCTCACCAGTCGATGCCGCTTAGCCGATAACTTACCCTGTCCAGAGTATGATGGCAATGGGTCAGATTAAAGGTGACCATAAATATCAAAAATCGGGAAAACGGGGCTGCAGACAACCCCATGCTCCGAGCCTATTGGACCGGTCAGCGTGAATTTTTCATTTCTCAACGCGCCATCGTCGATATCCTAACCATTCCAAAACATGGTGACCTTGGGTCACGTCAAAGATCACCATGATACCACAAACTGGAAAACAGGGTTCTATTGCACTGATCAGCAAGCAACCTTCACCAATCGATGTGCCACAGTCGATATCTTATTCCTTCAATAACATGGTGACCATGGGTTACATCAGAGGTTACGAAAACAGCCGAAAAGCATCAAGCTCTTGGCAGACAGCCCCATGCTCCGAGTCTATGGAACCGGTCAGCATGAAACCTCCACCAATCGATGCGTCATAGTCGAAGTCCTATCCTTTCTAGAACATGATGGCCTTGGGTCATGTCAAAGGTGACCATCAATACCAAAACGTTGGACCTGACCGAAGGTAGTTAAGTGCACAAAATGTGCGCTCAGAACGCGCAGTCAAAGGCAAAATACCAATGCAAGTACGCATGAAGGCCCTCCGTATATATTTGGGGTGAAAGCATTCCATGAAAGCCTTCTCTTGACAACAAATCTGCTTATGCACCTCGTAAACTGATTACGTCCTCCATGAGATGTGCTCTTATTCCCGAAGCCATGAGCCTTGCCTTGATATGCGGAGTCGGGGAGGCGGTGGGGATAGTGCTAGGATATTAACAGGGGCCCGGGTGGCCGGCCAGATACCCTTCGCATGGGTGGGGGTCAATTTGACCCCCTGAGATCTCAAAAACTAAGAAAGCTAGAGAAACCAAATTTGCAGAGTATCTTGACCTGTACGTGAACTCACTTAGATCACAGTTTGAGTTTCCTAGGTCATGACCTTCAGGTAAATAAGGTCAAACAAGGTCAAATTCCAGGATGGTCTCCAAAATACCCCCAGAACCTAGGCTACTGTTTCTAAGCAAAAGGTCACAAGCCCATTTCAGGTCAGTGGTCTTGTTTGACCTTTTGAAGGTCATGGTGACCAAAATCGTACAGACTGCTCTGAGCTTGGCATTTGAATAAGCGATACAGATTACGCTAGGCAGTGTGTTCCTAAAACCAAATGGCGGCCCAGGTCATCTTAGGTCAATGAGCTGTTCTGACCTCTAAGAGGTCAATGGAAGATATATAATGCGGTTCCTGCTGTCAATAAATTCGAAACGAGCACCAGAAACTATCCCATACAGGAAGCCCTAGAGTAATAAATCAGGTTGGTTTTAACCTTGGTCTGACCTTCATACCTGGCCTTAGATCAACGTCATTCGCTTATTCAATATTTTTTGTGTCTAAGAAAGCATCTCAGAGACTGTTGTTGTATCAGATTTTGTTGTATCAGATTGAACAATTCCCTAGAAATTGCATTCGCTGAAACCATGGCCTGACTTTGACCTACCATAGGTCAGCGACCTTACAAGGTCGCTAAATGTTTGATGTCAGACGATTTGTTACTCAATTTTCTGCAACTATGCAAAGTTTGGCGCGACTACGGCGCGCCGTTCGGAAACCATTTTGAAAAACCTTCGGGGGGGGGGTCAATTTGACCCCCTCCCCACCCAAGCGCGTGTTAATAGAGCACCTAGGATATCGCAGATTCTTATGAATGTCGGAGTTGCTGGGGAATGAATAACGCTGGGTTTAGGTAGTGTGCAGGAGATAAATATTTGGAAACAAGATTTAATACTTGTCTTCTTAACATGCATTGCTTTCAATGGTAGGTGGACTGTTCGAAAGTACCATGCAAAAATTTACGACCAGTTATGCACTGTGCTCAACCGGCTTCTTGACGTCTCTAAAGTAGACGGAACCAGTGATATGTGTTTTGTTTGCTCTGTACCTACCTGTACCGCTGTCATCCAAAGTATGCGCTATAGCTGTATGCACCGTCTTCATCTGTCAAATCCCAAAATTATGAGCTTCATCCAACAATCCAGTTCGCTATACACTTCTCGACTCAGATGGTTTTGCACCTGATAGTTGCATACTTTGCATTTGTGAGCTGTTGAAAGGTTGCTGCGTCAGCTATTACCTCAATTATCAGATTAATCATTCAACAAGAGGTGTAGCATTGCCATGTTGGAGTACAAATATTTGAGGTGAGTTGAAGTTATCCGGCATTTCAAAGCTATCGTTCATTTTATCATGCATGGGTTTCATATCGCCCCCACGCTCGCGCACTCGTGAAAGAAGTGTTTCAGTTCATTCGCAATATTACACTTAAGGCACAGCGGGCTCCCGACCACGGCTCTACTGAAGAAACATCGTTCTCTTGGAATGCAGACATGGATGGCCCTATAAATGAGCGAGCACAGCCTTGTGGACCTATATTTGCATGGAAGCCGCTTTTTGGCCACCAGTACACAGTATGGGCTCCAAACTTTGGGCAAACATATTCGTTCAGGGAAGCTCTTCCAAGTTTAATTTTACCTAGCATCGGAACTTCCCAACCTTCCGTCCTTGTGAAGAACTTGTAGTTTGTTTTGTATTCAGACGTAGTGCACCGCTTATATATTTCGGAGCCTGTTCTTCATCCATAAGCTCAGCATTAGATTTGGGGATTTACGACTAGCCTTTGCTGTTCCGCTCCCAGTTGTAGACGGTAACGCGATTTGCGTCACCATCCAAAAGCGTGAAACAGGCCTCTCGCCGCTGATGGTCGGGATTAGCATACCCTCATACAGTCATGGATCTTGCATGCAATATCGACCCAACACACGCCTGATACTGGTTTTAACAATGTGTGGTGTTAAAGCTTGGGCTGTCCATGTCTAATCGGTGTGCTATACCGGCGCTGGTATTATATCATCATACCCGATGGTTCGGGCTAAATCCGAGGCCTCCAGTCAGTCACCAGTAAATCACCAGTCACCTCCGAAGAGCCGTGCAGCGTCTCCAGGCTTCGCCTACATTGCCTCATGACCTACACCCGTCCAGTGGAACCAAATGGTTCCATAAATCACGGGTCAGTTGCTGTTTGAATGTAGTATTAATAGGCGCGGGCAAGGTATGTGAAAGCTCAACTGCCTTCAGAATTTTCAAGAGAATCACCATATAGCACGCGGACGTCAGGGGACCGCGGATGGCGACACTGGTTCTGGACACGCTCGGGTGGTCTTCCACACGTTCTCCTTGTCGCTTTCACACCCAATTAGTGAGAACACAGTTAAGTCCAGTTGACAGAATGCAGGATGTCGGCACTTGTGGTGCTGAAAGCAGCTGCTGCATCGCGTCTGCGGCGAATAACGTGTGGGTGAGCCATGCGTGTTGGTCCCATCAGCAATATTCTTTCTCCTTTGGGGAGAGCGCATTTAGCAACTATAACACAGGTACATTAGTTGTTGACCCGGCATAGGCATCCCACTATTATATTAGTAGCTTGTGACAAGCTGATTGATTGCAGGCGAGTGAACCCGTGGGTAACCGCGAACTATATTGACCGTGAACCGAGCCGAGTGCAAACATAGAAAATTGTCGTGTTTACCCACCTGGGCAAGGTGCTGACCTCCCTTCGGCCGTATCGCTGGGATACAAGCCAAGCACCCAGTCGGTGTGGAGACGTGACGCTGCCTTGTTCCTGTTGCAGCCAACGGCTCGTCGGCAATCGCGTTCGAGATTCCGCTGGAGGCGGGCGAGAGTCTGATCCAGCGGCACCCGCCCAAGCGTTTCCAGCGGCTCGAGGATAACCAGCTGACGCTGGAGATCTTCGAGGGCAAGCACGCCAACGCCGCCGAACGGAGGAGCAAGGTGCAACCCCGGGGCGGGTCGGGCCACCAGCTCTGTACCAAACCGTGCCCGCACCGGCCTGCCACACACGCGCCGTTGCATGGGCCTGATGTGCCTTTCGAAGCAGTGAGGGGAGCCTGCATGGACGAGCACATGGAGCTGGTTCTCCTGGCTCTGGGCTCAGTGGGAGTATTGTGGCAATGGCTGTTGTTGGCCCAACCCATGCCTACGAAAGTAAAGCTAATTTGTGTGCCAGTCGACAAAACCACTGTGAAAAATTGATGACCTTTGCACTTTGCTATCGAATTCGTCGCAAAATTTCCGGACATGCTTTCATCATAACTTCTCAGGACAGCAAATCGATGTTTTCATTGATGCAAGTGGAAATGGTAAAAAAAATATGACGTGCAAGTGACTGAAAATTCAAACGTATCTCGGGCAACGCTTACTGGTCTAGTATGGTCATCTATGACTAAATGAAAAATCTTAAAAAGGCGATGTCGGCACGGGTTTGGATGGTGGACAATTAATGCAAACAAATCTTCCAGCGTGCAGCGCTGATGGTGCACACACAGCGCGGATCACAGACGGATCGTTTCCTAATGTGATGTTAGGAGTGGAAATGTCTGAGACTTACTGCCACCGTCGCATGCCATCTGCAACATTAGGCTAGCGGCCTTGAAATGCCAGTCTAGCTTTGCAGCAACGCTGAAAATACGTGCATGACGATGCCCTTTAGACTGGCGCGCACCCACGGAATCTCGTATTAATAGGTACCGCGCGGTGCTAAGCTTGGCTTGTTCCATTCGACATAACGCTCTCTTCAATTCACAACGATTTAGGCCTGTCATTACAAGGTTTGAAATTCCGACCGCGCGAAATGGGATGGAGGGACAGAAAAAGTGACGTTTGGTCCATTTCGCTAACACTAACACATAGCCTGCAAGCAAGCCAAGCACCAGAACACTCTGCGAACTAACAACAAATTTACCAGAAATGCGTCTGTACAGCGGCTGCGGCGAGCCGGGGTGGCGGACGTCACCAGCAGTGCCCGAGCTGCGGTGTGGCCGCCTGAGCTGCGGTGTGGCCGCCAGAGCTGCGGTGTGGCCGCCCGAGCTGCGGTGTGCCGCTTGAGCTGCGGTGTGCCGCCTGAGCTGTGGTGTGCCGTCTGAGCTGCGGTGTGCCGCCTGAGCAGAGGTGTGCCGTCTGAGCTGCGGTGAGCCGCCTGAGCTGCGGCGTGCCGCCCGAGCTGCGGTGAGCCACCCGACCTCTGATTCCGGGCTCAGCCGACAGTCCTTGACCGCGGGGAGACACCGCGCAGAAACGCTCACCTGTCGTCCCGTCCCCGTCCCGTCCACAACCAGCAGGGCGTCCGGCCGGCGCGCTGATTGTTTCGCATCACGCATCGGGTAGAAATAACCGGCCATATTTTTCAGCACCTAGTATTATCCTGAACTGTGTCCACGTTGACACTGTTTGTACCGGTATGGCCTTTAGCCGGCTCAGCGCGTGGAAAGCTCGTGGATATTGGTCAGACACGTGGCTCATCGCTGGACCAGATATCTCAAAAACCATGTGAGTTTACAACTATCAAAAATGGGTAGCTGCTCAGAGCATTACGTCTACGAATCAGTGCAATAGCTAATTGCATCAATATGAGCAGTAAATAGCTTGAATGGAATGTCGAGGATTGGATGGGTATATATATATATATATATATATATATATATATATATATATATATATATGTATATGAAACAACGCCGCTGTGTTTACCTAAATAGCGTACGTTATATAATGTTATAGCATACAGGGGATCAGTTATCAGCCCCAAACCTTTTAAACACTGCTATATAAACGGTCGAAGCATTTATGCGATGCTACTTTACTGAATGATTTGGTCACTCAATGTCCTGAAAAACCGCATTTTTTGCGGGGATTTTGATAATTGATTACAGTTGCATTACACTGCATCCCGAATGTTAGAACGTGATCATAGGAAATTTTGTTATTAGATCTGATTCAGAATCCTTATGCTCTCCCCTACCTCCAGCGACTTTCGCAAAGTTCACCTCTGTTAGAAAGAACTACTGCCTGAATGTTTTGTGAACATTTGATGCATCTAATAATGTCAGTTTCACACCTGCATATGATATGTTTTACAATATTTGAACTTGATGTTCCACTTACGAGTCGTTCAAAGTCTCTAAAATTCTTTCAGAATCGTCCTTTCATTACAGACATATTTTACGCCTACCGATTAGTGGGTTTATAACTAAGCTAAGTAGATCTTCCGCATTTGTTTGTCCAAAACTTCATTACAATTCAAACAATCCAAAGCAATAAAAGATCCAGCAAAATCATTCCGATCTCACTTGTGTAGGTTCGCCGACTCACGTGGAACATTTTCTTGTGACTTGATGCGCGACTGTGCGTAATATGCATGTGTGTGTGTGTGTGTGTGTGTGTGTGTGTGTGTGTGTGTGTGTGTGTGTGTGTGTGTGTGTGTGTGTGTGTGTGTGTGTGTGTGTGTGTTTGGCTAGTTTTTTGTTTGTGTGTGTATCGTATATTCATTTTTCTTAAAACTGGACTGCTTCCATAATGGGCTTTTGCCTGTGATTTCTTATGTCCTAAATAAACAAATAAACAAATAAACAATAAAGTGAATGAGAAATGTTGAGAAACGTTAACTTGCTGACCTGTCAGAAGAAGGATCTTCCAACACAAAATCGAAAATGTTGCATTTTAATAGAAGCTGTCATGGCGGCTGCCACACTTGTCACAGCGCATTCTCCCTTCATGAATGACAGAAGCACACAGGAAAAAAACGCGCATATAAAATTTTGCATGGCGTGACCGCCCAGAAAAACCAGAATCGTAAGCGACACGCTCCATATCTTAAAAATAATATCGTATGGTACATTGCGGGGCATCGATCGCCACCGTCACCGACACAAATTTTCAAAATAGAAATCTAACCGCTGCTCTCTGGAACTGCTTGCACTGCGCAGGCCTTCATTATGCACAGTCAGCAGCAGCCTCTGCATACAGCCACCTCCAGTTCCCGCTGCGCGTCTAGCGAAGGGATTCTGTGACACTGCATGCCACCACGTGTGTGGCGGAGAAGAAGCCAGCACGCGATAAGACATTTGGAGCACGCCATCTGGTACTTGCACCTACGAAAGTAGAACACCTTCCTCTGTGCGCCTGACCCTGCATGCGTAGCCATTCTTGTGTCAGCCCGTATATACCAGCGCGGGGGAGTGGGCTGGGCCGCATGGCCAGCTCCTACCGCACGTGCGCCGGCTTTGTGATCGAACCCAGCCCATCGCGTGACACGGGGCAATTAAAGCTCCGGTGGGACGACCGATCTTTGTGCGCAAATGTCCCCGCGACGCATTGGGCCTGTCGTGCCACTGCTTTCAGCATGCTCCCGCGCCTGTCAGCTTGTGGTGACATGATGACAGTCGGAGGTTGGAGCGCGCTGGCCTCCGACGTGTTTTGCGCCCACCTGCCTGCGTCGGTCCCCGGGGGCCGTGGAGCGCTGTGACAGCGGGGTTGGACCGCTGACGGCCGCTGACTGCGTCCCTCCCCGCCCCGGCCCGCCCGCCGCTGTGTTCCAGCCGACTGGGGCCAGCGCCGCGGCGCGTGTCACGCTCCGCCGCCCGCCGTGTGGCCGGCAGCGCCGCCGCCACCCGGCGCCACTTTCATGCTAATGTCCCGGTGAACGGGGCCCGGTCACGCCAGCTGACCGGCCAACGTTTTTTCTCGTTTGTCTGCAGCTATTGAACCAGCGCGTGCAGAGCGCTCGGGTGCGAAACCTGCGCAGCGCCGGCCGCGCCAAGTCTCGCACAACCATGCGCTCGGACGACGACCCGGTGAGTGTCGGTGACCTGAGCTCGGGTCAAGAAATCGTCCCCCGGGGTCAGACGGCCTCCACTGTGGACTGGACGGGGAGTAATGCCCCGAGCCGATGCGTCCAAACGTGACCAGAGACGATATGAAGGACGAAATCTATCTCGCAGTACGACGTCGAATGGTGAATGATAACTGACAGGCAGATGGCGGTAATCGTACACCAGCGACTGACTGTGGTCCTTGATCGTACGGGTTGCCATGATTACGAGTGGCGTGAGTTGAGATGAGCCGCGGATTTCCGCGAAAGCGTGCTTGAGCTACTCACTACTTACTAGCGGTCGTTATGTTGCAGATCGAGGGTGGCGTAGCCGACCAGAGGAAGGACGAGTCTGAACTGTCATAGGTACGTCCTAGTCCATAGCGCATTATGTTCACCGGTTCCTCGGAGATGAACCGGTGAATGACGCGCTGCTCCTGAGCGTTGGCTGCCCATCCGCCCGACTTCGAACCAGAGTCGATCGTCTGTCTTCTTCAAAACGAGATCATGGGCCTCGTCAAGCTCACAGAGGCCACCGTTTTCGGCTATCTCGACTGCTGTGCAAGCTTCGATGGAGGACGGAGCTCGAAGTGGAGCAGTGCACGGGACTCGCGAGAGCACCGACGCCGGTACGGTGCTGGCAGCAGACGACTGCTTTTCGGCGCCTGCTCGAGCTGCTCGAGCTCGTGCTCGAGCTGAACGTGGTCACCTGAGAGGCAATCAGCCGAAAGGCACCATCAGCCAACATGCATTTCCGGCATACGGTCCAGAGCGCTTCGCCTGTGCGGACTGGGCCGGCATTCCGTCCAGAGCACTCCGCCTGTGCTATATGGGCCGGCATTCTGTCCAGAGCACTCCATCTGTGCTGCCTGGGCATGTTGCTGTGAGCTGTAAAAGGCACTAAACGTTCAGGTGACATGCTGAGATCGATTGCGAAGGGAGGTTTTTTGCGAGAGGTAGGTGCGTTTTGGTTTGACCTATACGAGACATGTAGCATGTGATACGTCGAAGATGGCAGACTGCATTGCACACTCTTGTTTGTATGCATGCTAGTCCAGGCTATCGTCGTGCTTTGTGCTGAGGGAAAAACTTTCATAATACTGCGTCAGAAACAAAACTCGGGTGAACAAGATAAAACTTCATAAGTGATCAATGCATTATGTGAAGAACTCGGTTTGCTGTGAAATGCATGGCAAATGCTTGGAATGTATCATATATGGATGTGTTTGGAAATAAACACTTGTTCCAAGTGTTTTCCCCGGCCATACGAGCCACCCAATCAGGGGATCATCAGCTGGAGTAGACCTATGAATAAAGAAAATGTCCGCCGCGATAATTCAATTTTACTACGGAATACCAAACCAAGAGCTTCATGACAGAGCTGTCAGCAAAGGAAGCGTTTTATGGCGGTACCATCTAAGGCGAACCAGCCACATTCTTGACCTATATAGGTATAGAGCCCACAAGAAACTTGTGCTTCTTTTTCAGAAAACGAGTCAAAACTTGTGTTGACGTACCGCAGCTTTTTCACTTCCAGTGAATCGGAGCGACTGGAGATGTTGCCATTTTGCGTTTTTTTTTTTGTCCGACCGGAACTCTTTGGCTAACAACTCCGCCACAATTAAAGTTCTGTCAAGTGGTGCTCACGTCAACCTGAATCCATGCTAAGGCCAAAATGTTACAGAGTCATTACAACACGAAAAGGTAATTCCCATCTAGGGGAAAGGTGTCATTTGATTGAAGGAGCATATCACACCTTTTATCATGGAGCATATCACCTTGTCGCCTCTCAACCGCGTTGGCAGCTAAATTCGGAATAACTATGACCGAACACTGCAAAACTATTGTGAGATTTGGGGCAGCGGTTTTTTTACCGGAACGTGGATGTTGGCAATAAAACAGTTCACGTATTTGTAATGTGCAGGCCAAATTGAGTATGAAAAATGAGCTGATTCTATCAAAGCTGCAAGACTTTGGGTTTGCTAATGTTTTTTTCGAAGCAAATTACCACCGCGTATTACGACGGACGAGAGCGCAGGTCGCTTGAGGGTACCCTGCAGAGTTCGATGAAATTATACGTGCTGTTCAATTTCCAATAAAAGGCTGCAGGGCTTTGCAGTCCAAATTTCAAAACTTTATAGCATAAGATAGAAGCATGGCTTGGGCCGCAGGGAAAATGGGCCATCCGGAATAAGTTTAGTTTCTAGAAATCGTTTTCAACTCCAATATTACGGAGAAAACTGTTTTTAATGAACTTCTGAAATCGGTAAACATAATAAGTGCGGCAGCCTTTTGTGGTTTTTCATTTATGCACAATCCCATCATTTTGAACGAGGGATCGTAATTGAGTAGGAGTAAGTATACACCTTAACTCTTCCGAGTTTGCGTGGTGTAAAGAAATCATGCCGCTCCCGCCAAGTTCAGGTTTCGAATCGAGCGTACAAAGATGTCTTTGCACAGAAAACGGTACAGCAGCATTGGCTGAGGGAAAGTATGTCTACCATCGTGATTCCCAGTCTCCTCCGGTTTTCCTTCAATGCTTCTACCATTCTACCGTTGGTTCTCTCGCTGTTTACAATTTCTCGTCTTGCTCTGGTGCGTTTGCAGTGCTCAGGTAGATTTGGGTCTGACTTGCCTTCATTTCAGCATTAACACGCGCCCGGGTGGCCGGCTGGATACCTTTCGCACGGGTGGGGGGTCAACTTGACCCCCTGAGATCCCGGGAACTCAGAGAGTTAGAAGCATGACATTTGCAGGGTGTGTTAACCTCTACGTGAGCTCACTTAGGTCAAACTTTCAGATTCCTAGGTTATGACCTTTGGGTCAAATGAGGTCAAACAAAGGCCAAACTCCAGGCTGGTCTCCAAAGTGCTCCCGGAACCTAGATAACCGTTTCTTAACAAAATACCACATACCCATTTGAGGTCAGTGACCTTTTTTGACCTTTTGAAGGCCATGGTGACCAAAATCATACAAGCTTCTCTGAGTTTTGCATTTAAATAAGCGACAAAGATTACGCTAGGCAGTATGTTCCGAAAAAAAACAAAATGTTGACCCGGGTCATTTTGAGTCAATGACCTATTCTGCCCTCTAAGAAGTTCACGGAAGATGTATAGTGCGGCTCCTGCTATCAATTAATTCGAAATGAGTACCAGAAACGATCCCACACAGCAAGCCCTAGAGTAATAAAACAGGTTGGTTTTGACCTTGGTCTGACCTTCATACCTAACCTTAGGTCAATGTAATTTGCTCATTCAACTGTTGTGTTGTCTAAGAAAGCATCCCAGAGCTGTATGGTTTCGTCTAACACTCCGCTGTTCCATGAGATCGAACGATTTCCTAGAAACTGACTTCGCTTAAACCATGCCCTGAATTTGACCTGCTATAGGACAGCTTCCTTACACGGTACATTTAAATTTTTGGTGCAAAAAGATCTGCTATTCAATTTTCTACAGCTATGCAAAGTTTGGCGCGGCTACGCCGCACCGTTTGGAAACCGTCCCGGAAAAAAACCTTTGGGGGATCAATCTGACCCCCACCCGAGTGCGTGTTAAGTCTTTTCCAGCAGCAGCTATGGCAACTCCGCATAAGGCTCCCAGTTCTTGTATGACTTTTGTTTGGTCCTAACACCGCCCATGCTGTTTTTTTTATATTGCATGAAAATTTTTGAACCCCATAATCATTTCGGCTATTGGCATTACCAGACCGTTAATCACCCCTTCTTATTTTTATAACTTGATTTAACAGCATTAACAGACAGGATCAGACTTATCTGAACACCATAAAACAGGGATGATGCGGATCATGCAAAGAGCCTAGAAGGTTCTACGATGTGCGTCACAGTGTCCATCGTAGATAAGGCACTTCGGGCATGTCTTATCTACAAAGTGTGCTGTTATCCATTCTGCTATCCATTCTGTTGTTATCTGTTATCCGTAACATGTACACCCGCCCTCCTCGCGCAGACGTTTGAGACTGCCGACAGGGCAAGGCGCTAGGGCGAGCGGGCCAACAACAGCCTTTTAGGAAGGCACGGTAAGACGACAAGTCCGTATCTGTGGGACAGGTACCGCACGTGTGGCCCCCGCGGCAGCCTGGCGGGGGGGGGGGGGGGGCAATACCATGGTTGCCGGTCCCCCGCGTGTTCCTGTCTTCCCATTCGTGATGTGTTCTGCGACCTGGGTATGACTACGCGTGTTCCAACCGACGAGCCGCATCGGAACCGCAGCGAAGGAGAGTGCGTCTCTATCGGGGATAGAACGGGACCTATAACTTGCGTTCCATTAGGCCAAATTTTGACTGCGCCACTGATAAAAGTGTGCGTCATTTCGAAGTAGTTGGGAAGCTTGTTCCCCGTGCCTCGAGTGAGGAGTCCAGTGTATTCATAAGAACTAGATGCCAGCATGGGCTCATTAACAGTCTGGGTGGGGCTTTAGGCTTTCCACTGAAGGTATTTCTTTCAATTTTTCCCAATCCCAAATAGGCTTTATTTCACTGAGCTTCATTTTGTAACGTCGAACCTTTGAGTGAGCGCACTTCGTACCACCTGATAACAAACACCCCGTCACGTCAAATTACCCCACACCAAAATTTGAAACTAACCACACATACGAACCTCAGTAACCGGATCATTTTAGCAACCCTTCCGTTTGGTAACCGTCAGTGCACAAGGATGTCCTGAAGCCCCTAAGATTTTTCGGCAAGTTCTTCTCAACATTTTTTTTTCGGTACTGGAATTCTGGATGCCTAATGGCGTATCACTTAAACACATGTGAAAAATGCAAGTTTCTGACCTTGGCGGTCCCTCACTTACAACTGCTTTCTGAAGGTCGTGTTGGTGAGATTTTGCTCAAAAGTGTCGACTGACGCTCCTCACTCGCTCGAAATGTTTCCCAAACATTTTTGCCGATGCTCCTCTTCTCTTGCGCATCAATATGAATTGTATTGTTATCGGTCCAGTGCCTTTTGAAGTGTAAAATTTGCATCTTCTTGGGCAAATTCGACCATTAGAACGCCATGCGACTTAACCCCAAATGACACATGCGTTACAACTTCGGTAGAACTTTCAGCCCTGTTCTCCTCATTGATGTAGCAGCTTGTTTAGCTCTCGGTTTAGCCGCACTGGCAAATGCAACGATCAGCTTCATTCATTTGACCTGGCATGGCATCTCATGACTGGTTGCATGTGACAATATCCATGAGTGTCCACCACATAAAACGTTCTAAGAGCTTTTCAACGCCGTCTTCTGCATTGCCGTAGCAGGTTTCGTACCTGCGATAACAGGAGTCTATAAAGTGGTATGTTGGCCGGTTTTATCTCATTTGGCCTGTAAAATAGAATTCATCTTTTTCAAGGCTCCCTTATCAAATGTGCGTTGACGAGAGCTTTCCATTGCCGTTTTCCACATGGCTGGCTCTAGCTTGCTCAGTTTTCGAGATCGCAGGGAACCCTTGAGCATGAGGAGTCTCTATGGTCTTAAAAAGACCCTGGAGAGGTGGAAATTTCGAGTAGTTGGAAATCTCAATGGCATAACCGTTCCAACATTTAGATTCACCGGGCATTTCATCAATTTCCGATCCCTCTATTGATTTAGATCACTTCAGTCTTGTGTTCAGATGGAAAACGTGCAAAGCTTTTAGCGAGACGGCTACGATACATCGACCTATAGTGAGGCTGAAACAGCTGTTAGTACGCAGGGAATATCTTTTCAGCGGTTGGGGGGTGGGGGGGGGGGAGATAAGGCTGCGTTCCAGTGCATTTTTATGCACTTAACATGTAAAGAAGATCCCGGGTCTCCGCTCGCAGGATGAAGTTGAAAAAATTCCTGTAGTTTGAAGATTAGGAGGAGCCTTTCTTACAGCAGGTTACATCTCCGCCATTTTCACCCTCCATCCCATGGCTCCTCACTGGTTACACCGAGTGAAATATTCCCCCCCCCCCCCTAGGTGCGCTTTGCTAAATGTACCGTCCTCGAAAGTAACGCCAGTAAGGCGCCTAATTGAGCAACAGTTGCGATACAACCAACGGGTGTGTTCCATGTCAAGCCAGTAATCCAAAGGCATCCTGGTGTACGATTTAGTTTGTTTATCAAGATGTTAGGGTCATTTGCATCCATACCTGAACGGGACGTTACGCTGCCAAAGGCCTCTCCCTCCCTCTCCTGTAATCATATATATGCTTTTAGTGCTTCCGTTATTTTCCATCACCCTCTCTTCCCCTTCATGAGTAAGGTGAGCTATGGATGACCTCAAAGTTGTGCGTCATGCAATGGAAGGAGAAGTCAGGCGTCATGAAAGTGGTTTACAATGATCAAATAAAAGTTATAATGCCAGAATGCGAATAAACAAAATTGCATTCATGCTAAGAATGCGGTAAATTTTGCATCTCGTATTTTAGCAGTGTTAAAACATTTGTCCTTTTTGCGTCGTATATGTCGCATGTCTACGAAAACAGCGAGCGGCAGTGCACGTCCTCGCGAAATCGCTGAGAGCTGCGGACTGGCCAGGAGTAGCTACGCAGTAACTGGAGAGTGCGCCGGCTGGATACGGTATTTTGGGTGATGGTGGGTTTAATGAGCCGGTGAGATAAGAGGTTCAAAAAGCGTCGTCAGTTGCCAGTCACATGTCTGACTTACCTTCGTTGAGCCTACCTTACGAGCATGAAAGCAGTGCTCGCTGGCTGTCTCAACAAGCTCAGCGTTGTGTAAAACTATTTTTAGGCCCTAGTTATGTTCCCCGTAGTTGCGACCAGGTTATGATTATGTAGAGGTTTCATTCTATCTTGTGAAAACTGAAGGATTCATGTGCTTATTGTACCTATAATAGACATAACTTTTGTCATTTGATGTATTATTTGTTGTCTGGTGTTATCAAAATAATTTGCATGCACATATGAGCATTGTGAGCCCTATGTGGTATGCCACTGAACCGGCATGAATCATGTATGTGTTTGTTGCTGAGAAGCTGCTTGATTACAGCTGTACTACCAGACACAATCCAAAAACAAGTTCTGTAATGTTTGTACATGATTGAAAGAAATTACCATCTTTTGAGTGCATAAAAGACATGTCAGAAGAAGAAGTAAACACTCATGATTAGGTTATTAATTACTTCAGTAACCAGTGACTCAAAACTTCAGCATCCAAGTGTGCCTTGTCTCCTGAATGTTATGTTCAATCACCTGCCAATGTGTAGCTTGAAAATCAATCATTCACTAGCATGAATGGTCATGGCCAGCATGAGAGAAGGGCTGCTGATCTTTTAGTGATGTGGTGCATCTGAATCTTATCATTTTGTGTTCCCCAAAGCCATTCACTTTGTTTCACTGAGCTCACTCTTAGCTCAAGCTTCATTCTTGTTATAATAGGGCTCATGTATCAAATATTGTTAAAGTCATTTGGAATAGGAGATTATGATACAATGGAAGGTATAACACTTACAGCTATTCACAACCATGCAACTGTTCCCACCTTGTCACATCAGTGGGAAAAGGTATTCTGTGGTGATTAGACAGGTAATTAGCTGCTATTCAAGTTAGTAATCTTCAGTTGGTTTTTATACTTATCAAATTCTGGCGATATCTATAAATATGTTGGTTTTGATGATATATTGCAATGATTCCTGCACATGTGGAACAGCTTGATTGTCTGACACAGCAATATTCATACTTTATTTGCATATAATGCTTACAACATGCCTCATGACTCCAAACAATGAGAAATCTGATATGATGTAAGGGGAATGAGGCAATAAAAGATGAGAGAAAGAGCATCAATTATCAATGTGCGACTGATGCCAAACTTCCAAGTGGATGGAGCCAGGGGCCTTTTGGTAGCTGCACAATGGTGGTGGAAAAACACATCCAAAAATGGGCAGATCCATGGTTTGCACCCTTGTATGCACATATGCATGACTTCAAAACTCAGCCCATGCCTATGTCACCAGGTGGCCTTACATCAAACCAGGTCTATGTTACCAGGTGGCCTCAGAGCAACCCATGCTTTTGTTACCAGGTAGTCTCACCTCAACCTGTGCCATTGTGACCAGGTGGCCTCAGAGCAACCCATGCCTTTGTCACCAGGTGGCCTTGCATCAAACCATGCTTTTGTCACCAGGTTGCCTTACATCATCCCACACCTTTGTCAGCAGGGGTGCAGTTTCATGTTTAGCAAGAGGGTCTCAGCCCTTTCCCCAGTTTCTTTCCTGCCCCCTCCCAAAATTAAAAGAGGTTTGTTAAATTTGTGAAGAACTTGGACTGTGTGGAGATGGAAATGGTGGTAACCATTACCATATGATGCACAATTACTTTCCTATCCCCATTCCAAAAGGTTATGCAAAGCTTTGCTCCTGTCTGCCAGTGTGATCATCTGTTCCCTTGTCTTCAGAATGGTGTGTAGTTCCCCCGGGTGATGTCAAGCTCTGGCCCATTTTTGAATGGTGCTGCACATCTTGATCACAATCAGCATACTTAGTGTTCCTCTCATTGATTGGATGAGGCAAACTTGGGATGAATTAATGTATTTGGCTGCATCCCAATGTTGCAGAGAACACCACCTCTGGTGAAATGTTGTGTACACAGATGCTGCGAGCTCTTAGGTCACAACATTAAGGATTGTCCTTCCTTGTCTAAACAGCATGTTGATGACCCTGTGTCAGTCATTCTCCTGTGCAGCATTTTGGTGTATCCAGCAATGTTTTGCTCATAGATGGTGTTATTGAGGTGTAAACTGGTTCTAGAAAGGTTCTAGAAGGTTCTAGAAAATGTGGTTTGAATGGACTGTTTGTGTGTGTGTAGTGTAAGTTCCGAATTGTCCCTTTGCTGCTCTAAGACCGGTGTTTGTACCCTTAACCTGCACTTTTAAGTGGACTTATATGCATTTGTGTGAAGTGATTGTCTCAAGCCCATAACTCTGACAGGTAGAAGCTAAAGTCATTACTGTGTATGTATTGGATAATATGTAGGACAAAATGCATGGTCAAGTTGTAGTTCTACCAAACTTGAAAGATACATGTGCTTTGCTTTTCAGTGGAATGCTACAAAGAAATTCAAGTTAGTGTGTAATTAAAACACTAGGATTTTCTGGGCTTATTGAAGAAGATTCTGTTTTCAAAAAGCTCTGTTCACTGTGTGCAATTCAAGCACAGGTGTTTGAACACACTATGGCTGATGGATCAGGGAACATACCAGCCTGTGAGCAAACTGCAGCCCAGGCTGATGCTGAAATTATCTGCTCTGGAGATAGGGATGGCTCTTCAGTTCATGGTCAGGACAGTGTTTCCTTGGGAGTAAGTTCTGATACCATGGATGCTGATGCATGTTGTGGGGCATCTGAAGGAGGCATGACTTCAGGTGCAACTGACAATGCTGGAGAGAGTGAGACCACACATGCAATACAGAAAGTTGTGCCAGATGATTCAAGCAGTATGCCAGCTGCTCCAACCTCTGACCTCATGGACAAAGAAAGTGAGATGGCAGGTCAGCAGACTTCTGGCCATGATAACAGTGAGCATCAACAGCAAGAGCAGAGCATGGCTGATGCCAGCCAAACCATATCAAATCAAGAGGATGACGCTGCTGATTCAGAGCGGGAAGCTGCCGATTGTGCCATGTCGGGCACTGAGGCGGATGATGAGGGGAACTTTGGAGTAAATGGTGCAGCTGCTACGGGTCTGCTAAGTTTGTCAAGCTCGTCAAGTGATGATTCAGACAGTAGCGATGATATGAGGAAATCAGCCATGGTGAGACACAGTTCATGTCTGTGGTGGTTGCACATGACATGGTCGTCTTTGACGTTCTAGGATTCGATGTGTTAAATTGAGCTGTGCCGTGAGCGTGCTTATCTTTTGAAGGCAGCGTGACCTGTGATGCTGCATTTCAGCCTGTGGTCATAAACATGATTTTATGGAATGGTCATTAAAATGTCATATTGTGTTATTTTTCAAGACTGAAACAGCATTGTATTATGTGACTGCTGGTGTGTATGTTCTTCACAGTTTATAGTTTCGTGTTTATCTTCCTTTTGCTTGCCAGGCTGCATCTTTGGAAGACGTTAAAAGGAAAACAGAGGAAATCATGACGAAACCGAAGCCCACGCACTCTTGGTCTCTGGTGAAGGAATTACACAAGAGGTGACTGAATACGATATAATTTCGTCACGTTTGAAAAACACACTCGTTGATATGTAACATCTTACGTTTGCCGAGCATCTGTCTATAGCTGTCCATAGCTGCGCACCATTTCAGCTTGATTGTGGCGCCGGCGTTTTGCGCCGGAGCCAGCTGGTGACGGCGCCGCTCGGTCGGGCCGGCAGGCAGCTGGGCGGGCGGCCGTCGCTGCTGCACCAGGACAAGTTCCGGCTGCACATGTACAGCTCGCTGCACGCCGTCGAGCGGCTGGAACTGATGTCCAAGCTCTGCTGGCACGAGAGCTGCGTCAACTGCCTGCACTTCAACGCCACCGGCAGTCTGCTGGCCAGCGGCTCCGACGACCTCAACGTGGTCGTCTGGGACTGGCAGCGCAAGCGGCCCAGCTACTCATACCACACGGGCCACAAGAGCAACATCTTCGAGGTGGGGTGCCGAGGTGGCGGCCGGCCGGCCGGGCCCGGCGCGCGGGCTCGCGTGCCTGGGACGGCCGGGCCGTGGGCTGTCCTGCCATTGACCATTGACCCGTGTACCACTGACGCCCGGGCTGGTCCTGCCCGCACAGGCTGAGCTGTGGCGCCTCCTGCGCAGGGGGCGGTGGCGCGCCGCTGCCGCCGTGGAGCGGTGCGGTGGGCGACTGCGCCACTGCGTATTCGCACCAGCATTGTCACTGGTCTATGTTTCTCCGGTGCTGTGTGCACGGAGAGCGAGTCTGTTTGCAAGGCGCCTTGTTAACCGGCTCCGTGCGGTAAGATTTCTGAGACTGACGACTGGGCGATGTGCGCGTTCACAGGCCAAGTTCATGCCTCTTCACAACGACACCCACATTGTGTCGACAAGTCGCGACGGTCAAGTGCGGCTGGCTGAGATCTCGTCGGCCGGGGAGTGCCGCTCCATACGCAGACTGGCGCAGGTACCCCCCCCCCGCCCCCCGCCCCTCCTGCCCCTCATCCCAGCTGTCGTTCGCTGCACGTCTTCACTCAATGCTGTTTTGATAACCATTCTTGTTTAATCGATGTTCGTTACAGAGAAAGTATGCGAGCCGATAGTTAAAATTCAAGGATTTTTTCGGACTTGGTACCAACAAGTCTGATGTCATCGGTGTACGCTAGGTCCATCGTCACTGCTAGTTGTTTTGTATTGGTTTGAAGGAATTTTAACGATGCAAACCGTCGCCCATCATCAAACCGCCGTGGGCTGCTGTCGGCGACGATTACAGTCTCTGGCCTTCTTTCCGTTTTCGGGTGTACATACGGAATAAGAAGGGGATTCCGCCCACGTTTGTAGCATATGTCCAACAAGATTCCCCGTGTACCTCATGCTGACAGTGGTATGCTCGAGTTCGGTGAGGCGACCCTCTTGGTGGCTGTATGCGGCGCGTGTGGACGGTGCCGTCTCGGCGGCTATTTGTGGCGCCTGTAGACGGTGCGCCGGCTGAGGCGGCCGGCGTGTGTATGACTGCTGTTGACCGGGGCGTGCCCTCTCGGCGGCTGTATGTGGCACGTGCGGGCGGTGCCCTCTCAGCGGCTGTGTGTGGCACGTGCGGACGGTGCCCTCTCAGCGGCTGTATGTGGCACGTGCGGACAGTGCCCTCTCAGCGGCTGTGTGTGGCACGTGCGGACGGTGCCCTCTCAGCGGCTGTATGTGGCACGTGCGGACAGTGCCCTCTCAGCGGCTGTGTGTGGCACGTGCGGACGGCGCCCTCTCAGCGGCTGTGTGTGGCACGTGCGGACGGTGCCCTCTCAGCGGCTGTGTGTGGCACGTGCGGACAGTGCCCTCTCAGCGGCTGTATGTGGCACGTGCGGACAGTGCCCTCTCAGCGGCTGTGTGTGGCACGTGCGGACGGTGCCCTCTCAGCGGCTGTGTGTGGCACGTGCGGACGGTGCCCTCTCAGCGGCTGTGTGTGGCACGTGCGGACAGTGCCCTCTCAGCGGCTGTATGTGGCACGTGCGGACAGTGCCCTCTCAGCGGCTGTGTGTGGCACGTGCGGACGGTGCCCTCTCAGCGGCTGTGTGTGGCACGTGCGGACGGTGCCCTCTCAGCGGCTGTGTGTGGCACGTGCGGACGGTGCCCTCTCAGCGGCTGTGTGTGGCACGTGCGGACGGTGCCCTCCCGGCAGCTGTGTGTGACACGTGCGGACGGTGCCCCCTCGGCGGCTGTGTGGCGTCTGTGGACGGAGCGCCGGCTAAGGCGGTCAGCGCGTGTATGACTGCTGTTGACCGGGGCGTGCCCTCTCTCTGCGCAGCACCGCGGCTCGGGACGCAAACTGGCCCTGCAGCGCGACTCTCCGCACACGGTGCTCTCTTGCGGCGAGGACGCGGTCGTCTTCAGCATCGACGTGCGGCAGAACAAACCGAACAGGTGGGTCGCCGCGCCGCCTGGGCGACGTGGCCGCTCCTGGCCGTACGCCAAAAGAGAGACGCCGGGCTGTGTATCGACCTGACCATTGTTGTGTGGACGTGCTAATGTTACCGTCATGGGGGAAAAGCCGCGTATCGTTTGGGACCTTGCATGGTGACGGGACGGGCCGTGGGTATGTAAGAGACGACTCGTTTGCCGCGGATGTCGTTTGCTTTCGCCGACTGTATTTGCTCTGGTGGCGAGCATCCAGTCAGCTGTCAGCCTCGGAGCAGCGGCCCCGCGGTGAGCAGACCTGAGCTCCTCACCGGCGATCCTCTCCGCCGCAGACTGACCACCTGCATGGACAGCGGTAAGAAAGTGCCGACCAACTCGATCGCCACCCACCCTGAGGACGGCAACGTGTTCCTACTGGCGTGTGTGGACAAGTTCGTCCGGCTGTACGACCGGCGCATGATGGGCAACGACGAGCCTTATCGCCGCCTTTGTCCGCACAGACTGGTGAGTCAGGCCGGGACAGACTGCTGACTCAGGCTGGGGCAGACTGCTGACTCGCGTTGGGACAGACTGGTGAGTCAGGCCGGGACAGACTGCTGACTTAGGTTGGGGCAGACTGCTGACTCGCGTTGGGACAGACTGGTGAGTGGGACGGACCTGACCGATAAGCCAGGCTAAGGCAGAGTGGCTAGTCAGGCCGGGGCAGACTGGTTAGTCAGCCTGGAGCAGACTGGTGAACCAGACCGGGTGAGACTGGTTAGCCAGACTGGGGGAGACTGGTGAGCCAGACTCGGACAGACTTGAAGACAGATCAGGCGACCAGCTGGCGAGGCAGGTCGACAAAGGTTTGGCGCGGGCAGGCAGTGTGCCAGTCTGTTTTGCCAGCCTTGAGACTGGTAGAACAGAGCCACGACGGTCCGATGGGGCGCGCTGACCTCCTGTGTAGACGAACGTGACACCATGCTGCGCTGCCACGGCCGGCCCACCAGCTTGCAGTGGTGAGCGCCGTGTGGGCGGCCCGCCACCTGAGCTGCTGCAGGTGGGGAGCCGTGGTGCCCGCCGGGTCCAGCGGAGCTCAGTGCCACTGTGCGCCGACGGTCGGGAGACTCCGCCAGAGTTGGCCCGCTGCCGACCGGGACCCTGTCGAGACTGTGCGCTGCGGTGGTGCGCCGCTGTTCCGCGTGGCGAGCCTGGACAGGACGCCGTCCTGGCCCTGCTGCAGCTGGAGTCCGGCTACCGGTACAGCGTCACCTGCGGCGTGTTCAACTACAACGGCACCGAGATCGTGGCCTCGTACAACGACGAGGACGTGTACCTGTTCGACGCGAGCCACTCGGACGGCGCCGACTGCATCCACCAGTACTCCGGCCACCGCAACAACGCCACCAGTGAGCACACGCGGTGGGGCGGGGCTGCGGCCGGACCGGTGAGGGCGCCGGCCGCGCCAGGCCCGGTCTCCCGGCGGGCCCGCCGCCAGTCAGCGCTGTGGCGCGCCTGGTGGTGTGAACGTTCTGGCCGGGCGTGGTGCAGATGCGAGCTGCTGCACACATTGTTGCACACGCACTGCACATACTGTTGCACACACACTGCACATACTGTTGCGCACACTGTTGCACACTGTTGGCTGTTTGTTGAGGATGGGATGGCCGAGTGATGTGCGTAATGCAATCTGGCCGTCATTTTCAGTCAAGGGCGTGAACTTCTTCGGCCCGACCAGCCAGTACGTGCTCTCGGGCTCGGACTGCGGCAACATCTTCGTCTGGGACCGGGATACTGAAGCCATCGTCCAGTGCGTCCCTGGAGATGAAAACGGCGTGGTACGTACCCGGCCGCCGTGCGGCGCCGCGGCTTACACGGCCAGCACCGGTTCGACTCCGGTCTCCTACGTGGCGCCTTCCCCTCCCCTCCCCCCGGCGCTCTCCGCTGTAGGCCGAGTGATCCTGACTCGCCGCCCGTCCGGCAGGTCAACTGCCTGGAGCCGCACCCGTACTCCCGACCCTGACTCGCCGCCCGTCCGGCAGGTCAACTGTCTGGAGCCGCACCCGTACTCCCGACCCTGACTCGCCGCCCGTCCGGCAGGTCAACTGTCTGGAGCCGCACCCGTACTCCCGACCCTGACTCGCCGCCCGTCCGGCAGGTCAACTGCCTGGAGCCGCACCCGTACTCCCGACCCTGACTCGCCGCCCGTCCGGCAGGTCAACTGTCTGGAGCCGCACCCGTACTCCCGACCCTGACTCGCCGCCCGTCTGGCAGGTCAACTGTCTGGAGCCGCACCCGTACTCCCGACCCTGACTCGCCGCCCGTCCGGCAGGTCAACTGTCTGGAGCCGCACCCGTACTCCCGACCCTGACTCGCCGCCCGTCCGGCAGGTCAACTGTCTGGAGCCGCACCCGTTCATACCGGTGCTGGCCACCAGTGGGCTGGACGACGACGTCAAGATCTGGGTGCCGAGCAGGGACGGGCCGCCAGAGCTGGGCTCGCTGCGACAGGTGGGCGCCGCTGCTGCAGAGCGGCCGCCGCGCGGAGACGGCACCCATTCGGGACAGAAATGGCTTACACGGGGTGCATTAATTACAGAACACAGTAATTAAATTTAAAAAAATTAATTAAAAAATAAAAAGCTATGATATAATTAGAAAAGTGGTGACGTAGGATACTTTTTCTGTCATTATCATTTTTAGCCCATGCTGCTTAAGGAGCGCGTTTATTATTTTATTTATGCTATATTATCATAACTTTGAGACGCACTGAGTACGGCACGGGAGTATTCTTATAATTATGCCATTATCGCTTAATGTTCTTGTTTCGCCTACTCCTAGCGTATTCCAGGCCAATTAGTTTTGTCAGCTGAACTTGTAATGCAAGAGCTCCTAGTGGAAATGCTCCGTGACGTAGCTGTGTGCGTAGCCCGTCCCCTCATGCCGCACAATGAGAAGCGAGCCAAAGACCAGGCGGGCCGGGCTGGCGGCCGAGACGTCGCTGGTGCCAGCGAGTACGGCTGGCCTGGCGACGGCCTGTCGGCGTGTGCGCCAGTCCTGCGGGGCAGGCCCGCCAGACGCGCCGTTGGCGCCCCTGTCCGCCCGTCTGCTGACGGCCGTCTCGCCGTCTGTCGACAGACCGTGGAGACGAACCTGCGTGACCGGGTGGACGGCGACTCGCCCTCGACGGGCTCGCTCGGCAGCAGCCTCATGTGGACGGTGATGCAGCAGGTGCTCGGCTCGCAGTGGCAGCGGCAGCGGCGCCAGGTCAGTGCGCTCGCGCCCGGCCCGGAGACAGCCGGCTGGCACCCTGAGGCGGGGCGACGCGTGGGCTTGGTCTTTTCCGCGGTCTGTCTGCTGTAGGTGGCTTTGGCCGGGAAGCTAAGGTGGGAAGTCGCAGGTGGGGGCGGTGGACCTCGCTGGTTAGGATTTGGCCGTAGTGTGGGTTCCGGAAGTATCCTTCCGCGGGGATGTCAGGCAGACGGTACACGATGACCCGTCGTGCTGGCGCTGGCCGGCCGCACCAGCGGCGGTAGACCAGCGGCGATAGCCGCCGCCCACGTGCTATATATCCGGGTGCAGCAGAAGCCGACCGGCCCAGGGACGCCCACGGTCCGTGCCGTCCGTACCGCGTCCTGTTGCACACAGCTGTCGCCGACCGGCCCAGGGACGCCCACGGCCCCTGCCGTCCGTACCGCGTCCTGTTGCACACAGCTGTCAACGCACTGCCGGCGTGTGACTGGAGTCACCTGCTGTCGCAGATGTTCGACATGGACACGGACGACCCGGACGGCCGCTCCTCCGACAGCGACGACGACCAGCCGGGCGAGTGCCGGCCCACCTAGGAGCCCGCCGCAGCGGCCGGCGCCGGCGCGGGCCGCGCTCGGCCCGTTTGGTCTTTCGCAACAGCGTGTGGTGTGGCGTGCGGAGAGGCGGCGCGGCGGGCCGGCCGCCCCGCCAGACCGCCAGACAGCCCCGCCGAGCCCCGCTTGTCCCCAGCATATCGAGTGTGGGGTTCCCGTGTTAAGTCGTTTTGGCACCGGCCTTCGTCGCGCGATGGCCTTCTGACCCTGGCGTTTTTGGTCGCGGCGTACTAGACGCCGGTGGCGTCATTTGAACTTCGTTGGCGTGGTGTATGTCGTTGGGGCGGATTGATCACTACTCTGTGCAGCGTTTGGGTGGTATTTCAGAGCGAAGCACGTTGTCGTTCGAGCTGAGAGCAGTACAAGCGGTGCTGTCAATGAATATATGTATTGATAGTTGCCGGCGTGTTGGGGCACGTGTCGGGGCGCTGACGGGCGGCCGCGACCGGCGGAAAGCTCCGTCACGCAACGGCCGCTCGAGCTCCGTCGTCGGCGAGCGTTCACAGTGGGCTGCAGAGAGCGCGCTGGCTCAAGAAGCCGGACGCGCCCCAGACAATGCATGCTGGACCACCGCACGTCGGCAGCACCAGCGGCGCTACACTCGGCGCTCGGCGTGCCGCCGGTCAGGCCGACGACGCCGGGCGCGAGGCGGCGCGGTCCTCCGGCGCCGACGCCGGCAGCCGTCCTGCAGCGCGGCCACCGCCTCAGTAGCCGTACTTGTCGTTGAGGCTGGTGCGTCCGTCACCCGACTGGTCGGCGGGTGGCACCCAAACGTCGTAGGTGCCGTCGCCGGCGAGCCGCGAGTACGGCTCGGACGCCACCTCCTGCCGCCGCGTCACCGGTCAGGCGGGCCTTCAGTGAAGCCCCATCGGGCTCGAGACACGGCCAGTGTTACAACGCGCGCGAGCCATGTTTCCCACCTCCATACGCGACCATCCAACGCGTTTAAACGAGCGATCATCCGTGGAGATACCCACTGGAGCAATGGTAGTTTCAGGACAAGGCCACAAGCTTGTGGTGAGATGCGCCTGCAGCGCGTATTTCGATTACTGCGGGTAACGTGCGACTTCTACGGCTCGTAGACCACGCGTTATCACGTCGCGGTTTTCATGCCGAAAACAAGGGGATAATGATACAGTCCACGATACCGTGAAGCCTGCCGATGCTTAGCCAAGAGTCGTGCGGGGTTCATGAACTGCAAGTTAATCGCTCGCAGAAGTGTAGCCTCATTCCAATACATCGTCTGCCCCTTAAACGACCCAAAGCAGGTATGCTAACAAACCTTTTCTGCCTTCCGCCTGGTCCTCTCCTCACGTTTTCTTCTGGCTTTGTCAGCCTGCTGCTGTGCAGATTCTGAATGCTGCTGATCGACGGTGCCGCTCAGCGGGAGCCGTGGTGCCGCTACAGGCTCCTGCGGAGACCCGGCACCCTCCTTCTCGCCCGGCCTGTTGAAGGGCTGCAGCGCCCGGCCGACGGCGACCGTGTCCTCGCGCCGCAGCGTCGTATCCTGCGCGTCGTCCACACCGCGCTCACCGGCCGCCGGCACCGGGTCCGTGGTCCTTTCCACCGACTGGCACAGGTCGCTGGCGCTCCGGTCCGCTTCGGGCCCGGTCCCGGGCTCCTGGGCCGAGCTGCCCTCCATCGGCTCCGGGGAGGGCACGCGCTGTCCCGGCGCCGGGCCGTCGGACGGGAGCCGGCTGGCGGCGGCTGGCTGCTCGGGGGTCGGACCGGCCGGCACCCGTCGCTCCGGCTCCGACCCTTGCGCCGCCTCTTCCTTTCGTCCTCGACCTCGTCCTCGTCCTCCACGGCGGGCCCGGACGGAACGCGGCGCTCCGGTCCTCGGACGGCTCGCGCTGGCGCCGCGCACCGACCGGCCTTCTGCTGGCGACACAGCGCAGGCGGCCCATGCTCACAGGCGTCTTCGGCACGGCCGCTCAAACGCCCAGCAAGAGCACATGCGTACGCACCCGCCAAAGTTGTGATCCGTTCATGCACGTCAGGGCTTTGTTTGGTGACTGCACGTCGTTAATCTGGGTACAAAAGGCAGTCATCTCATGAGCAGGCTACAACCGGTACAAACACGCACGCAAATTAAGTCAAATGTGCTAAGAAATGATGTACGTACCAGTCAGTGACACAGCCAACTTCTGTCATCCGAACACGCCCCGCGGCGCGGGCGCGTCCGGTGGCGGTCCCTACCTTTCTCTTGCCGATGATGCCGGTGAGAGCGGAGCGGACGGCGGCAGCCTGTGGCGGCGGCCGCAGCGGAGGCATGGAGGCCGGCCGCGCCAGGTTCACCAGCCGACACAGACGGCCCTCCTCCGCCCGCAGCTGGGTCAGCTGAGTCTGGCACACGCAGGGACAGCTCATCGTACCACAGAGAGCGAGAGCTGGATGCCAGCCACATCAGCTCAGGGTTGTGTACAGGCAAACACGGCACGTCGGAAATACGTAGGCAGCATGTTCACGTTATTACAGCTCGTTCTCAATTCGGCTGCATGAGCTGGCGGACATCTCATCTCGTTCTCACATCCTGTTAAGTTCATGAACTGGCGGACATCTGATCTCATTTTCACATACTGCTCAACCGCATGAGCTGTCCAACATCCGATCTCGTTCTCACATTCTGCTCCAGTGCATGAGTTGGCGGACATCTGATCTCGTTCTCACATATTGCTCAAGTGCATGAGTTGGCGGGCATCTGATCTCGTTCTCACATGCTGCTCAAGTGCATGAGCTGGCGGACATCTGATCTCGTTATCACATACTGCTCAAGTGCATGAGCTGGTGGACATCTGATCTCGTTCTCACATACTGCTCGAGTGCATGAGTTGGCGGGCATCTGATCTCGTTCTCACATACTGCTCGAGTGCATGAGTTGGCGGGCATCTGACCTCGTTCTCACATATTGCTCACGTGCATGAGTTGGCGGGCATCTGATCTCGTTCTCACATATTGCTCGAGTGCATGAGTTGGCGGGCATCTGATCTCGTTCTCACATATTGCTCAAGTCCATGAGTTGGCGGGCATCTGATCTCGTTCTCACATACTGCTCGAGTGCATGAGTTGGCGGGCATCTGATCTCATTCTCACGTATTGCTCAAGTGCATGAGTTGGCGGGCATCTGATCTCGTTCTCACATACTGCTCGAGTGCATGAGTTGGCGGGCATCTGATCTCGTTCTCAAATGCTGCTCAAGTGCAGGAGCTGGCGGACATCTGATCAGCCCACTCATAGGCAGCGGCTTGACTGTCGAATGGACAGTGACATCGAGCTTAATCCGGCTACGTTCCCACTCATGTTGGACAGACACAGATGAGTGAGCGTGAACAACATTACATCACAATGAAGACAAAGCAAAAATAGTAGCGTAAATTATGCGCCCGGAGGACCACCTCCCGCAGCGGCCACTGGGTGCCTGGCCTCATATACACACGTATGCGGCCAGCCGCCGCGTCATGCTCACCTTGAGTCGGCGCCGCTCTTGACGGTCGCCGATGCCTCCTCGGCTCAGGCTGCTCATGAAGGCATCCAGCTCGTCCATCTCCCCCGGCTGACTCTCCGGCTGCTGAGCAGCCGCCTCGCTCTCCGCCAGACGCCGCTCCACAGCCAGGGCGTTCGACTGCACCCTCTGGTACTGCAGCAGCTGGTGAGAGGACATGGGGCGTCAGATGACACCCTCTGATACTGCAGCAGCTGGTGAGAGGACACGGGTTGTCAGATGACACCCTCTGGTACTGCAGCAGCTGGTGAGAGGACACGGGTTGTCAGATGACACTTTCCCATATTACAGTAGCTGGTAAGAGGACACTGGGCGCTAGATGGCACCCCTGCTACTACAGCAGCTGGTGAAAGGACACGGAGCGTCAGATGGCACCTTCCGACATTACAGTAGCTGGTGAGAGGACACCGGGCGTTAGATAGCACCGCCTGCTACTACAGCAGCTGGTGAAAGGACACGGGGCGTCAGATGGCACCCACTTAAAGCTGCATCAGCTGGTGAGAGGACACGGGGTGTTAGGTGGCACCCTGTCGCACCGCAGCAGCTGGGGACAGTTACAGAGCCACAGAGCACACCGCCCATAATTCCCGTCTTCCTTTATACTCTCATGCTGCATCAGCTAAAGAGAAGGTCCAGAGAACACCACGCTGCACCCTCCAGCACCGACGCACCTGGGGAGTGCTCGGTGCTCGGTGCGTCAATCTGCACCGTCCAGTACAGATCAGCGGCTGGAGAGAGTACAAAGAGCGCCGGTCTGCACCCGCTGGCATTGCAGCAAACAAGACTACAACACCATGAGAGTCCCATGACAAAACATGGAACATCCTAGCACCTTGTACTGCACCAGCTAGGGGGGAACCCACCCAGCACCAGCCTGCGCCACCTGCCACCGCAGCAGCTTGAGAGAGTGGCGGAGTGTTCGTAGCGGAGTGTTGCGGGCTCACCGCCCCGCCGGCTCTACTCACCAGCGACTGGTAGGTGTCGGGCCGGGCGGCGGCGGAGGCGCCGGCGGCGGCCTGCTGGCGCTTCTGGCGCTTCTTCTCCACGGCGCCCGTCCGGTCCAGGAACGTGTCGTCGTCGTCCGAGTCGTCGGCAGCCGGCTTCCGTCGCCGCTGCTGGCGGCTCTCTGCCGCCGGGGCGCGAGTGGTCAGCGCTGCACCTCCGCGCATCGACGCCACTGCCTGGCGGCGGGCAGACGCGAACCAAGCAGCCTTGCCTCGTCCGATCCATTCACTTGAACCCCACACACACTCGCGTGCCACACACTACTGCGGTACAACATCCTGTCTGATTCGCTCGGCTAGGCCTCGCCCGTGACCAGCAACCGCGGGCCGGAAGTCAAGCCGGTAAGCCGGAACCGGGTTTCACCGCTGTTGGGCCTGACTGAGGACGCTCCAAGCTAAGCTCAAAACACGGCCGCCGCCCGCCTACACGCGCCCTTCGTTACCTTGCCGAGCCTGTCGCAGCACGCCGGCCCTGTCCAGCATGCGGCACGCCTCCAGAGCGCACTGGAACACCGCTTCCTTCTTCTTGCCCACGTGCTGCGCCTCAGCGACGAGCGGCCGGCCGTCGTCGGTGTCGAGCGGTAGCCTGAGTGCAATGGCGGAGCGTCAGGCGCGGCCCGGCCGTCCGTCATACGGCGTCACCAGTTGCCGTAGCCCGGCCGCCCGCCACACGGCGCCGCGAGCTGCCGCGCGACGGCCTCCGCTACATAGGCAGCACCACCGCGCGACCGCTTCCGCTACATAGGCAGCACCACCGCGCGACGGCTTCCGCTACATAGGCAGCACCACCGCGCGACGGCTTCCGCTACATAGGCAGCACCACCGCGCGACGGCTTCCGCTACATAGGCAGCACCACCGCGCGACGGCTTGCACTACATAAGCAGCACCACCGCGCGACGGCTGAAGGCCTGCGCTATATAGCCAGCACCACCGCGCGACGGCCTGCGCTGCACATGCAGCACCACCGCGCGACGGCCTGCACTACACAGATAGGGGCTGGGGTTATACAAAAGCGAATGCCACGCTGGACTGTAGAGAAAGGGCTATGCCAGCCTATAGGAACTATGCAACTCTGTGTGGCAGGCAACATACACCTACACACATCAGCAAACATACCTAGCATAGTTGAATATTGGTTGGGATACTACGCGATTTGTTATGTCTCACCTGCATCCCAGCACCAACAAGGCTGCGCTACCGCCTCGGGTGGACTAGCGCCAGCTAGACTGACGAAAAATGGAGCCGCTTAACCTACCAGAGGGCCTTGCAATGGTCTCCAGAAGGGCGTGACACTGATCCGACCAGCAGCAGCGCGTGCCGGCCCGGACTGCAGCAGCTGGCAAGGGAGAGAGGGAGAAGGAAAGGAGGAGGGAGAGAGAAAGAGAGGGAGAGGGAGAGAGGGAGAGAGGGAGAGAGGGAGAGGGAGAGGAGAAGGGAGAGGGAAAGGAGGAGGAGGGGGAGAGAGAGAAGAGTGAGGGGAGAGAGGAGAAGGAAGGAGAAGGGGATAGGAGAGGGAAGAGAGGGAGAGGGAGGAAGGGAGAGGAGAAGGAGGAGTGGAGAGAGAGAAGGAGGGGTGGAGAGAGAGAGAGGGAGAGGGGTGGAGAGAGAGAAGGAGGGTGGAGAGAGAGAGAAGGAGGGTGGAGAGAGAGAGAAGGAGGAGGGTGGAGAGAGAGAGAAGGAGGGTGGAGAGAGAGAGAGAAGGAGGGTGGAGGAGAGAGAGAGAAGGGAGGGGGTGGGAGAGAGAGAGAGAAGGAGGGTGGAGAGAGAGAGAGAAGGAGGTGGGAGAGAGAGAGAGAGAGAGGAGAGAGAGGAGAAGAGAGAGAGAGAGAGAGAGGGAGAGAGAGAGGAGAGAGAGAGAGAGAGAGAGAGAGAGAGGAGGAGAGAGAGAGAGAGAGAGAGAGAGAGAGATAGAGAGAGAGA